CCAAACTCACTCGTTTGTGTGTATATATAAGCTTAAACTTTTAATAATTTTCAATGACTAAATGCCTATTAAGTATGGATATTTTTTTACATATTAATTTATTTATACATATACTTTTATGTACTTGCGCTGTCAGCTCTGTGATCTCTGCAGCATTGGCTTAATAACTGCCATATTGTATATTAGAGTTGATTAGAGGTAGCAGAGATGTAAATAATTTTTTTTCTTTGAACTTGATTGGTTATATCTTTTAATATTGATTTTTAATGAAATTTTTAGATACATTCATAAATCTCTGCGTTGTTTTTAACAGACAATACTGTTTGTTATATGGTATTTTAGTAATGGACATTAGTATTACGCACATGACACTACTGTGGGTATTGTAAAGCTTATTGAAGATCTCTAGCTAGTTTATAGGAACTATTTAAAAAAGTTTTACATCCTGTTAATTTTTAGATTCTTATTATATCCTAAAATATTTTTATCGTATCAATTCAATGTGAGTTGGCAGATTGATCAGTTTGTTTTTTAAAATATATATTTCCTTTTTTGTATCATGACCAAAATAATTTTAAGGACTTGTCTGCATTTTCTCTCTTGCCATTTATAATTTTTTAGTGTGTTCTCATCATATTTTATTTATGATGTATTATTTATTTATTTATTAGTGTCTATTGATTGATTTTTTTAAATTTGAATTTACCCTTTAAAAAAAAAGTTTTAGCATTTGGAATTATATAAAGTGAAGTTTATTTTTTGATTTATTGAGTTTTAATTACAAAGAATTCCGTCCTTATTTTCAACAGTCATACAGATGTTAGATTGAAAGATGTATCTAATAAAGATTTAAATGCCGTTACTTCTATGAAATCTAATCCTCATTTTCTGTCACATTTTTTTTATTGTGAACTGCAATTAGATTTGCATATTTTTAAATAAATCATGATCGAATTATTCTTACAATCAAGAAGTCTATGATTCATCTTATTTCAATCTACATTTGTTGACAAAGTTATGTCTTTTTACAATTGTAACTAAGACCATATTAAAGGATCATTGAAACATTGTTACCAATAGAATGCTGATTATTTCTTTGCTTTTATTTTCTCTTGGTTGTAACAGGCATTTTTATTATTTGCATTTATTTGAAACTAGTCCGAAAAATAAATAAGTTTCTTACTCAACAATATACATAAATCATATGGGACTACAGCTAAAGATAAAAATATAAATTTTTTAATGTTGATATATATTTGTTTTCACTTTGGCATTTCTATATATATTTTAAGCAGTACCTAAACCCCTTGTTATTTAAAAGAAGTTAATATTCCATTATTATAATTATGATTATTAATAAAAAAATGTAATTATTCAATCTTAAAAAAGGTTGTAAGGTATTTAAAACTAAATCAGATATAAAATCATTCTTTTAAAAACTATTCAACAAAATCAGAAAGCAGTCTTTTTTTTGTTTTCTTCATTATGTTTATTACATGTATTTTTTATGTTAAAATTGTTTAGACATCATGATTTTAAAAATAAAAACTTGAAGGAAGTTAGTCGACTGTTCTACATATCATGGGTGATAAATATTCAGGACGCAGTCTTTTTAAAATTTTTTTTACTTTTGCCAACGTTTCAACCCAAACATGTGGGCCATCTTCAGGGCGTGGTTTGAGCACTGAGGTTGTTCATGTACTCCAGCAGTACATGAACAACCTCAGTGCTCAAACCACACCCTGAAGATGACCCACATGTTTGGTTTGAAACGTTGGCAAAAATAAAAAAATTTAAAAAAGACTGCGTCATGAATATTTATCACCCATAAAAAATAAAAAATGTTATATCATAAATTGATTCTCTCCCTTAAATTTGAAGAAAAACTTAAAGATTTCTGTTATAAGTATTAATTTTCATTTTGAAAATAACTCTAGAATAAATAAAATAAAAAAAAGTTTAATTTTTTTTGGAAATAAAATAATTGTTCATAGTTTTATGGACATTTTTATTTTATTTATAATTTTACACATAGTATCAAAAATATTCCTCAAGTTTTATATTAATTATATTTATTATTCTTGAACCAATTGTATTTTCACTTCAAAAGAAATCTTCAATGGTTTATAATTTAGAATAAAAAGTGAAAGTGCTGTTATTTATTTATAATTTAGTGTATGTTTATGCATTAATACATAAATTTAAGTATCCAAATCCACACAATTTATTTAGTTTAATGTTCCGATTTGCAGTTGTTTGCCAAAGTTTGGTAGGGATATTATTTAAGTAAAAGTTGGCATTTAAGATATTTTAATCAGCATTCTGAAGAGCAAGTGTTATTTTTTTTTAAATATAATTAATATGTTTTAGTTAATTCTAACTAATAAATATTTTATGTGTTCATATATGACAATTGATAGTTCGAAAGTCAAGACTTTTTCAATTGCTAATGTAAGTAAATATTTAATTCTGTAGATATTCAATTCTACAAATAATATATTGTATGAAATTTCTCATATAAGTAGTTTTAAAGTATTTTTAATGAATGTATATTCATTAGTATAGTAATTACAACTGCAGATGCAAGGAGAACACCATTATACTATTTAGCATGTTTTATTTAGCTTTAGGTAGTGATGTGATATTGTTCTTGTACTTGAAAGACTTGAAATTTTATTTATATGAAAACCTAACAAAGTGGGTGTGGATAGCTCACTAATCTGATTTGCTTTTATGATTTAAATTAAACTGTATATAGCGACTATTATATTTTATTTCAATTGTTAATGAAGGTACCTTTTGTATGGTTGTACATAATTTTATTTGTATGCGTGTAAAAGAAGTATATTGTAAAATAATTTTGTATTGTCTATAAAAACCAAGCAAGTTCAGCTGCTTGTTATGCAACTATTCTTATCTGTACGATATCTATGTATTTATTATGTAAAGTGTTAAAATCCCCGAAAAATAAAATCTAAGAGTAACTCATATTTTTATTATTAAATTGTATTAATGAAAGACTATAATAAATTGAATCACTTTTATATATTTGTTGTTCCTGTAAATTATTAAATGAAAAACTAGTCATGGTGGTAGAACATGTACAATGATAAAATTTAGCAAAAACTTATAAAATATCTTCTACCCAAATAAAGCTCCACCTCAAAATAGAAACACATGCCTCAAACATGCATGTGAGTATGTATATTGGTGTGGGTGTATGTGTGCTTAATTATGTATCCATGCATGTTAAGCAGGAAGAATTCAAATGTTCAGGTTTTTAAGAACAAAAATTTATTTAAATTTGTTTGCATGCTTAAATAGTCATGTGATCAGCGAGCTAGTGTATAAATATACTTTACACTAAAATAAACTTTACATATTTTGTATAATTTGGCTTTGAATTAAAATTTATCTTACATGATATATATAAATAGAAATTATAAGGTTTTAATTTTCTGTTTTCTTATATTGTATTTAGGAAAGATGATTAATTTAACTTTTTTTTCTATTTTGTAAGTAAACACTCAAGTTATTGAATTATGTTCAGTAATTAGTTCAATTCTGGAACTATAATTGATTTTTTTTTTACTTTTATTATATTTTTGATATGTATATAATTTGACAAAAATAAATAAAAGGTCTTTGTGTATTTTGATGAACCAGTCCAATTACATAGTTTGATGTTTTTTAAGGGACCAGATTCTGTCATTTTTAAGAAGAAAAAAAAAATCAGCAATACAAGTTTTTTTAAAAATAAATGTTATTGCCACATGCATGGATTGTAATAGTTATAATGATAACATATCTTGTTTTTATATATGCCATGTAAAAAGCAAAACTTATAAATAAAAACCTTAAAATGATACCTCGTTTTTTCCTTTTTAAATTGACTATTTAAAAATCATTATTACCTCTACCAGACTCAGAAATACATAAACTTATTAATTTTGTTTACATTAATTACAAATATATCATATATATATTTATTAATATATTTTCTCCTCATATATTAATTAATTGAGGTTCAGCATAATCTAGATATGTCATATAAAGATGGATAATATACACACATCCACTCTGGGTATGGCATACTGCTTTTTAAGGTTTGCTTGCCTTAATACCAGTAATAGTAGTTCTACTCACCAGTAATAGAACAATACAGAATAGTAAATTAAAGGTTGCATTAAATTTTATAGTATTTGTGAATTTAATTTACAACAGCAATTGTTACAGCCAATTTAATTTTATTGTCTGTAGTAAGGGATCTAAGTTACCTCAAATAAAACTAAATCTACTTATTACTTAAATTAATAAATAAATATTACCAATATTTTTTTTTAAGTCAATAAAGAGTTTCCTCTAGGTTGGAATGAAAAAAGTCTTTATTTATTTGCTTTAATGTTATTTCCTAACTCCCAGTAGGTTTGGTAGTGAGAGAGATTGGTTGTACATCTGAAGCTCGATCCCATAAATTTTAAAGATCATCCATAACAGGGTATTTTTCTGATGGATAATTGTTTTTAATTTTCAAATGCAACATTGAAGAATCTGCCAAGATCTATTTTGTCACCAATGACTTCTCATCTACATTTGGGCATTCATCATTCATTGAAAATCATTATTTTAATTTTGTGTATAAAACCTTAAGAAATTGTCAACATTTTCATATGTTTTTTTAAAAACATAATACAAACAAGATTCTGAGCAAATATTATACGACTAAATTTCAGATTCGTGTTTAGCGACCCAAAAAAATTAAGGTGTAATAAAATTTATAACTATAACAAAAGATTAATAGCTGTCTAGGAAGCATTTCCAGTCTTCAATAATAACAACTACATACTTGAAAAAAAAAAAAAACTGGGTTAGGTTTCATTTATTCAAATTAAAAACCAGAAACTCCATTCCATTATTTTATGTAAAATAAAGTGGCATAAATGACACTAATACATCATATACCACAAACTGTATTTAAAAACTAAAATATGAACAATTTAGGCTGACCAAAATTAAAAATTTTTTATGAAAATGGAACCCCATAGATATCTATCAATAATTTACCAATTATTACAAGAAGAGTTTCCATAAAGAATTAAAATATTTGCTTATGTCAATGATGTAATGTAAGAACTTTATGCTGGCCAATAAGTATTATTAAGTACATTAAACACAATGTTGGATATAATACCGGCATAACGCTTTGGAATTTATCAAAACTCATCACGTAAAACTATACCCAAAAAATTATATACCTGGTTTTAGAGTATAATCAAATTTTTTGAAAGAACAATTCCTAATCATTGGACACCTTGTATAATAACAGTTTTCACAAAATTACAAAATGTTCACTAATTGATAATTTTTTTACACATATATATTATAATTAATATTTTGTAACAGTAATTTTTACAAAAATACCATTTTTGTTTACATATAAAAGCCAGCAAGTAGCTAAAAATATTTTATTTTCAAAAATTACACAATAATCTTAATTAATAAACACAAATATTAAAAAGTTACAAGCTAATTATATAAATACAATAAGTAATAAATACTTGATTTCATGTCATTTCATCATCTGAAAATGTATCAATGTAACAAAAATTAAACCTAGCACACTGTCTTTGTGGACGGGATGATGTAGCAAGACTTTCGACAGAATAATTGATTGGAGAGTCATTACTGAATTGAGGTGACATTGATCTATCACCTTTGTAAGCTTGTCGGCGAAGATTATTGGGATCCATTCTAAACAAAAAAAAAAAAATTATTGTATAAGATTGAAAAAATAAATACAAAAATATCAATTGCTTAATTAAAAAAAGGAATTGACATTATATACAATATACATGTTATACATTTAGTATGAAATATATGTTTAATAGTATTTTAAGCTGAGAGAAAAATAGGTGAATTCGTACACATCACATTAAGTGCTTAAAAAATAAAATAAATATCAAGACAAAATAACATGTAGCCAGATATGTACATAAAAAAAGGACATTCAAATTAGTTGCAGTAATGAAACATGGAAAACTTCAAAAATTGTGAAAACATCACTAAAACCATCGATTTCTAACCAAAAACTTAAATTTATCATACTTTAACAAATATGAAAAAAAAAATGATCTTTGGTTTATAATTTTTTTTTTTCATATTTGTTAAAGTATGATAAATTTAAGTTTTTGGTGGTATTAATGTGTGGTATGGACACCTAATTATCAAATTGTTAACATCCCCCAAAAGCTTTGTGAATAGCTTATCTTATCGTAACCTGCAACTTTCTTATTTACGAAAATTCTTGGAAATGGGGCATTTTCAATCTGAAAATCATTAAAGCTAGTCTATTTAACATTTTAGCTGCTGAGCACGATATCTCTTAAATGTCTTTCCCAACAATATTGGTCCACGGTGACCGACACTAGTTATGAAGTTTCTAACGGCATCGGACGCAGGAGACATATCAGTTTCGAAGTATACCACTATTTTTTGACAACAAAGGTGAACTAAATTCCCTATTCATGGCCTCTATCTGTTGGTTGTGCCAGCAATCGTAGGAGTGGACTGCGATATCCGATGCCGTTTATATGACGAGTTTTTTATTACTTAGTTACTTACTCCTCGGTGCTATAGTCCGCATGGGACCTTGGCCTTCTCAACAATACGTCGCCACTCGTCTTGGTCCCCTCCACTGCCTGACACCAAGCTGTCTCAAATCCGCCTAAACATCCTCCAGCCAACGGAGTGGTGGCCTTCCTCTCCTTCTTGCTCCTCCAGGTCACCCATGTAATATTTTCCTCGGCACTCGGTCCACGTGCCCTAAACATCTTATTCATCCTACCTTAATGACACTAACGAGATCTGTGTCCCTGTAGAGTTGTCGCAACTCCCGATAGTTTCGGGACCTCCAAACGCCTTCTTCACATACGGGCCCATAAATCCTCCTAAGAATCTTACGCTCCCACACTCTAAGAGCCCTCTCATGTTTTGCTGAGATAATCCTTGTCTCGCTTCCGTATGTGACTACTGGATGAATCATTGTTTTATAGATTGTCAATCTGGCATTCCTTGATAGTCTTCGAAACGTGAGTAGTCGCTGTATGGCATAAAAACATTGGCTTCCAGCAGCAATCCTGACTCCTATCTCAGCTCCTACGTCATTGTCTGCCATCATAAGGGATCCCAGGTACTTGAACTCTCTGCATACTGGGAACTCGTGTTGGCCTATGTTTAATGTCCGATCTTGATGAGGGTGATGTTTTGAACTCTTTATGTATATCGTCTTTTGCTCGTTTATTTGTAGACCTCGAGCAGCTGCAGCAGTTTCAAATTCCTTCAATGCATCCGCCAGCGCTGGAAGCGTCCTTGCGGCAATCACTACATTATCTGCGTACGCCAAGTGTTGTGTGAAGTGGTCAAAGATGGTACCACCCGGGTTGGTTCTTATGGCCCTTGCCGCCTTCTCCAAGGTCATGTTAAAAAGGGGAGTAGCCTTGGTGTCTCCTTTCATTATTCCCGAAACCACAGAGAACTCCTCACACAGCAATCCTTGTAGTTTCACTCTGCATCTGGTATCTGTCATAGTCATTTTTACTAAGTGATTGAGCTTCTTAGACACACCCAGAGAGAGAGAAGATCCCTCATCAAAACTTGCCTATCCACTGGGTAGTATGCCTGCTGAAAATCAATGTAGAGGTGATGCAGGTGGACGTTGTATTCCAGTGACTTCTCTAGCACCTGTCGGGCAGTAAAGATCTGATCGATAGTTGATCTACCCCTCCTGAAGCCACACTAAAATTTGCCTACTTCCTTCTCCATGTTTGATATCAGTCTCCTACCAATGGCAGAGGATACTACTTTATAAGCTATGCCAAGAAGTGCTATACCTCGATAGTTCCTGCACTCTAGCTTGTCTTCCTTCTTATAGATTGGACATAGGACCGATACTTTCCACTCATCTGGGATCTCCTCTTCCATCCATGTATTATAAATAAATTTATGGAGCTCATCCCAAACTTCATCTCCGCCATATTTGAGAGTTTTTTATTATTTCTCTTAATTTAAGCAAACAAGCGTTATTTTTAGGGATATAAATCTTAAATATTGAAAATGAAATGAGAAACAGTTTATTTATTACATATAATTATAATTTTCAAGATATAATTTATACAATATTTATAGATATTTGGGTATTCACTATCACATTGGAATTTATTTTAAGAAAAGGAAAAATGAAATGAAGTATAAAGTTGCTTACTGCTTGTGACTCTGGTTGAAGTGCGGCAAACAAAATCCGGACATACCATCATACTCCTCACAGAACCTAGTGACTTTCCGTGTTTTCTTATTTGCTCCCTTACTTCCTAGAGTCTTTTTCAGTTCTTTGTAGCATTCTCTGCACCGCTTTCGCTGTCTTCTTCCCTCTGAAGGCTTAATAAAAGTATGGACATGAAGCATCAGACATGGTGAAGGTGGTCGGATCTAAGTTGCGAGTTCATTAGTGAGAACCGATCAGAACTTTGTGATTGATATGGTTTTTTTTTTCATATTAAAGATGATCCAACAATTGACCACAGATGTTCCAAACATTATCTTTAACATCAGTTTCCTGTACCACTTAAAGCCCTTTCATAGCATTTGGTCACTCAGATCTACCCCTTTGTTGGCCTAATTATAATCTATAACACATCGGGGTTTTTAAACAGGGAGTCCTATTCTCGACTTTATCATGATGGATTTATCATATCAATTTCTTGCTCTGAGTTTTTCATAATCATTAATAATATTTTTTCCATCCACTTAATAATTTTGAATGATCCTCTTTGCAAGACAAATATTTCTCCTCGTTTTAACTTCCTCTTTATCTCTTCTAGGATTCCTTTTCTATTATTTATTAATATCCCACAATAAATCATTTGTTCATCATATAATTTAATAGTAAGAGAGATGCTTGAACAAAAACTATCGGCATAGAGAAATCTCCCCTTGCTTGTCTTTGAGGCATGATAGTAGCTGGTGAACTATTGCTTCTGAATGACTTTCATTCAGAGATGGACAACATCGTAATCAATGATTACATGATTACAACTGAAAATAAAAGTTAAGGACCATACCAATTTTATACTTGATACAATAGCAATATAAATATAGCAAAAGTCTGTAACAATTACCTGATTACAATTGTAATCATAAACCTGATTACTATTACAATCGTGTAATCGTAATCACGTAATCATAATAGTAATAAAAAAATCAAATCCACATGATTTTCCTCTGTTTAGAGATAGTCTAAGAGGAAAACCAGTATAAAATATTTTCTATTTTTTATTAGTTGTCGAAAACACTTTTTATGAAAATACTCAGATTTAAGGTTGTACGATTGCACATCCAGTTTTTCACTGTTCCAACAGTTTTCCAGTAGTGTAGAGGTGGGTGAAAATGGAGAAATAGTGTAGAAAATTTTCATATACTTTTCCTTTATATTTCGTGAATGGATGCTCGGTTTTTCATCGCTATGACCATTTTATAACTGTTAAGAGGTGGACCAATGGAAAAAGGAGTTTTACAAATTCTTCAAATTTTCCTCTTTTATCTCGGAAATAAAAGAACGGTTTTTTACCGTTCAAACAATTTTCCGGCTATGTAAAGGTAGGCGAAAACAGAGAAATGGTGTAAAATAATTTCCGAATTTTCTTTCGCTATTCCTATTTGACCTGTCTATGACAGACACTGCAAATCTCTTAATTCCGTTTTAATAAACTTTGCAATGCAAAATAACAGTTTAATGACTTATAGTCGTACAATCCATAATCAACGAATCGTACAATCCATAATCAACCGGTGATATAATAAATAGGACTTTTGTTATTTTAATAGCATTTGTGATTTGTTAGCTTTAGCTCAGTTTAAAATGCAATTTAAAACATTTTATAATAGCATAACATGGCCAGAAAATAATTTTTATTCAAAGTTCAAAGAGTAAGGGAAACGCACCAGATTTTTTTGTTTAAAACCACCAAAATGGCTAGATCATTTTTTTTTTTTTATCACTCATACAATGATTCTGAAATAAAACTTGGTATTGTGAAATACTGAATAAATTTAATAATAATGTAATTTTTGGTTACGTCCAATATGGAACAAAATTTTCAATTTAAAACTAAATAAATGTTGATTTTTACATACGCTGGCATGAATTCTGAATCTGAAGTACCTTCTTCACCGTCTTCAAGTGATTCATCATCAACTAGGAAAAAATCAGAGAAATATCACAATTAAATAGTAAAAATTACACTCTTATAAAACTGTAAGATGCAATTAAAGTAATGCATGCAATTAAAAATAAGCATGACATTCATATTAAATCATATTTATTTTTAATATAGGATGATTATAATCTAACCCTAAAAGTTATAAAAAAATCAAAAAATAATTGATATGCATTAGAATAATAATTCAGCTTTCCCATGATTGTAGGAAAAATCCTGAGGAGTAATGAATACTTTAGTGAATAATAGAAAAAATAATCTTCCAATTAAATCAAAATCAAAAAATTATTTTTTGTTAGTGAAATTTGTTTTTATTTCATATCTTCAGTTAAGACTATAGTTAAAACTGGGAAGCAACTTGTAGTTAGTTATTAAGAATTGTGTTAAAACAAATGAGCAATACGATCACTTGTCAAGCTAAATCCCATACCAATAACATAACAGTACCAGAACAAATGAACTCATTGTAGATCAGCTAGCTCATGGGAGATCAGCAACTAATAAAAACCTGAATGCTTTTAAATTTAAAATATAGTTTAATTTTATTAAATAAAGCTCACATTTCTTCATTAATACTGAAGAAGGTGGCTAATAGAAAGGAATTAAATTATGTTAAATTGAATGTGTTAAAGATTAATTTTATGTTAATATAAATGTATTTGATAAAAAGATAAGGGTGATTAAAAATACCTTACATAATTAATTATATGACATTATAATTGATGTTCATGAAACATAAAATTAAAAATGTATAGTACTTATAAAATATTATGATACATACCTGCTTCTTTCTTTTTTCTAGAATAAGCTCTTTTAGAAGTAATAGGAGGTTGGTCAGTTTCACCATGTACAAGACTATTTCGATAAAGAAGTAAAGGTTGCCAATCTTCACCTCGGCTTGAAGGCATCCCCATAGAAATGCGGCGATCTAGATAGTTTAGTCTGGATACACCAAAATATATGTTAAACAAAAATGAAACTAAAATATTTGATGATTGCTCTAATCAAAAAATATTATAATTGTAAACATTATTGTAAATACAAAGCATGCATAGCAATTAAAGCAGCAATAAATTTCTTGGGACTGCAACAGACTTCACTAATTATAATCCTTATGTTTAACATTTCAGCTGTCTGGGCTTCTTCAGATGAATTTGGTTATTTGTAAATGGAGCTGTCTCGAGGCAACGCTCGAAAATAACCTAATTCATCTGTAGATGACCAGATAGCTGAAATCTTGAAAATAAAATTATAGTAGGTGATCCTTATTTCAGTCTCAGGAATTTCATTAATATACATCCCTTCACTTTAAAAAAAAAACTATAACTATATATCAGAAACTGAAAATTAAAAATATAAATAAGATTTAGATAGAATTCTTTTTAATGTATTGAAATATTAGATATATGTTCAGCTGATCAAAAGTAACAATTATTTGGGCTGAATCAAGATAATACTAGAATTAACACTATAATACAGTACAGGAAATATAATTATTTCAACGGCACAAACTATAAGGCCACTATTAAAAACACTTTTTGGGTTTACGTTATCACAGTACTTACAATTTTAATGTACAAGATGGGATCTATCAACTAGATTAGTGAAACAAATATAAACTCTATATAATAAAGGCACAAATTTCATAATCAACAAGCTCCACTGTACATAAAAAATAATACAATTAGCATAAATATAAATAAAAAGCTTGTATCACTACAACCCATGAAGGGTCTTGGGTTCAGTACTATTTAGGGAAAGTACTGTTTCTAGGTCAACGGCTGTGCAAGGAGTTGATTTGAGCGAGATCATGCTCAACAGCCAGGTTTTCCCCCTTAATTAATTATTTAATCAAGGGTACCCACTTTATAGAGGCTGGGTATGCCCCAGGAGGGTCTACCTACCCAGGGTGGCCCCATGGCCACCAATGAAACAGATAAATAAATTTTCTGCCATGAGCCAGGGTTCGAACCTAGAACCTTTAGCATTGGAAGCTCAGTACCAGCATAAATATAAATATCAAAAATAAACATCCTGATTAAGAGAAGTTGGTTGAGAGCTACAGTCATTAGAAGTAAAGAGCAAAAATAAATTATATTTATTTTTTTTGTGCCAACATTTCGGCCTAAGTTTCAGGCCTTCATCAGGGCTAAGCAAAGACAAGATAATAAATAAATACTGAGAAAATAGTAGGCAGTAATTGTTGGATTTACATCCTGGTTATTTATTGTATGATTTACTATATGTTTTAAATTTCACTTTGTATATGTCGCACGGGGAACCCCGGTCTCATCCTGTCCCACATCTTCTTGAAGACGGCGTTATCTATGTGCAAAGTCCAGGTGTCCCCCCTGTCTCGACCTAATCTACTCAGCTGACTTCATTAGGACAAGAGCCCACGGCTACTCTGAGTTCACTCATGGGTGTCTAGAGAGAAATCACAGCCCATAGGTTACACCTAATCTGGGCGAGGTAACGAGGGGTATGGTACTGATGCGCCAGAGGACCGCAGCAGCTATGGGAAATAGACACTGAATCGAAGACATGAGACCGGCCCCGCCGCTATTTATTGTATGGTATAATTATTTCTATCTAACTAACACATTAATACCGATTACCCCTTCAGGGATATCTGATTAAGTCAATAAAACAATTAACAGCATTAAACGTTATATTATTCACAGATATTCCCAACTCAATTTTTTCTACACAAGAAAAGGGCTCCCAGATCTGGGATCATATCGCATATACCGTGGGCCCCAATATTGTACATTTGGTGCCCCGGGTGAAGAATATTTCTGAATAAAAATATTGTTAACACCTGCCCATCATTTTCAGTATTCCATTTTATTTCACATTTCAGTTTCATTTTATATTTCATTTCCATTTTTTTTAATGCTAAATCAAATTTATTACAGAATTTAATTTGATTTCAATATTAACGGCATTCATTAACGCCAATGCTATACTTAAAATTGGTAGGATTAAGGAAGCATTAGGCAGATGCATATTGTCCCCGAAGACGCTTAATACGATTTTAATGCAACACTGGAGTCACCACCTAATTCCATTAAGCATAACTATCATGCTTACTTCCGGCCGCATTTTGGGACTTTTATTATACTTAATTCTCCAGCATCCAAATAATTTAAATCGAGATCTCGCCTTATAATTAATAAATTTATATTTACGATTAATTGGTAATTCATGTAATTTTTATGTGTTATTATTCATTAAAGCTTTTAGCTCTAATATAGTTACGTGATCTTGTTTCATTTCAGCTCTTGCCTGCACTATATATATATATATATATATATGTTGATGTATTTTATAAATATTTATTAATTATTATATTTATTAACTTATTTTTTTAACATGCTTAATTTATTATTACATCTATATTCAATTCTTTATATATTAATTGTTAATGTACATAACCATTCATTAATGAAATTTATATTTATATATTTTATGTATTTATATTTATATCTTCTTTAAGATTATTAAGAACCACATTTATTTAAAATTTGGATTTGTTTACCTTGCAATTGCGAACTTGAATCTGTTCTTTTTCTCTCGCCATCCTAATTAGGTTGCGATAATAATTTTTATTTTTCATTTTTGTCATTCCATTTGTTGTTTGCGTTAATCTCTCAAATCTTAAAATATTTAAAACCATGGTTGGGGGCAAAGAAAACTGATTTACCCAGTCCCATCGACGCCCTTGAACGTTAAATTCAATATCTGAAGCGGGGCTTTCAAAAATTATTTGCACAAACCACGGATATTGATAAAGACGATTTCTTCGAGTACAAGGTCATTTATGATGAGGGCAAACTTATGGGTCAAATTCAAAACGCTCGTATGAGTCCTAGGGCCCTTCAGCCTAGCGGTTGCTAACAACGCCAAGTCTGGCTCAACTTTTCTGATGTTTCCGCTTCAAATCCTGATATCGACGGGCCAATTTTTACTGGGGATAGTTACATATCACTCATTCATGACAACTCTCATTTGTCACCGATAAGCATAACTACTTCAAAAATGCACTTATCGGTGAGCTGGCAATTGCTTCTCTCCGTATTCTCTTTTGAAGCCAGCTTATATCAGCTAGGCTTGGACATGCTCATGTGCTCATATGACAGTCCGCGTGTACTCACATTACGCATTTATTAGTATCAGTAGTTATTTATGTTAAGTTTAACTATCTACATATTATTTTACTATACTATTTTACTGAATATTTAATAGTTGACCGTTGTATTATAAAGGAAGGAGATGGTCCGGGGTTGCGGTCATAAATGGGCTAAATAGTGGTAAAACTATTTTATTGAAAGCCGACGTTTCGACCCGACTTTGCAAGTCTTCATCAGGGCTAGCTGGTTCTTCATGGTGAGGGGGGTTGCCGGTGTCTGATCTAATACCAGCCTCCTTCAGCCTCTGTCTTCTTCTATCAGCCTCTCCTCATCCAGTTGTCCTCGCTTGACTTGCAGCTTGAAGTCTCCACCCTGAGTCCCAGCTCTCAATCTATATCTTGCTCTCTCCACCTCTCCTGATCAAGCGAGGGCAACTGGATGAGGAGAGGCTGATGGAAGAAGACAGAGGCAGGCGGGTATTAGATATGAGACACCGGCAACCCTCCCCCCCCCTCACCATGAAGAACCAGCTAGCCCTGATGAAGACCTGCAAAGTCGGGTCGAAACATCGGCTTTCAATAAAATAGTTTTACCACTATTTAGCCTATTTATGACCGCAACCCCGGACCATCTCCTTCCTTTATACTATTTTACCTACATATTATCATTATTACTGTCTACTATTCTCTCAGTATTTAATTGTTATCTTGTCTTTGCTTAAATTAACCCTGATGAAGGCCTGAAACTTAGGCCGAAATGTCTGCACAAAGGAAATAAATATAACTTATTTTTGCTTTGCACTTCTAATGACTGCACCCCATATAAGCTTAAATGTTCAAAATGAAGAGAGTGCATTTTCATGAGATATCATACATTTATTTTAATTTTAATCTAATACTTAATCATTATTTATAGACATTTTCTTACTGAATGATAATAAAGGATCATTATTAGCTCTTGATATTATGGAATATATCACTTCAGTAATTATCATTTTAAATTGCATTAAATTTCAAAAGAATTAAGACAAGTTATAAATATGTTTAAAACTGTAGTAAAGATTGGGTTAATAAGATGATAATGAGAAAAGACAATTTTTTTCCATTATCATAGCTATAAAGTAATATTAATAATAAGATAGATATTTAAAAATAACTAACACAATTCTTTTATCTTGTTTCAGAAGTTTATTAGTAAATTCAGAGAGGATTTCCAGAAAAGGGAGGTTAGGAGGTGGGCCTGTGGGGTCTTCTATGTTCTCACCAGTACTAACAGCAAATAAAATACCTTCCCGATGTAGAACTGTAATAGCTTCTCGATTTTTTACAGCATCCAAGCCAAAAGACAAAGCAAAACGCTTGGCTAACTCCTAAAACAAAAAAAAAAAAAAAAAAAAAAAATATATATATATATATATATATATATATATATATATATATATATATATATAAATTATACTACAAATATAACAAAAAGAAATAATGACTGAAATGTAGTATCATTACTTTTAAGAATTGCACAGATCAAATTTAATAAATTCAACTCTTGTTCAATCACCAACCTAATATCTATGGTAACAGAGAATAACATGGTTTAAAAAAATAGTTCTTATAAGTTATATCAATTATGATTATCTCCCAAATCTTCTGCAAAATGTGAAGAAGTTGGTAATTCCACTATCCTCATCTAGATCTCCAAATGATTTTTAGTTATGAGTTACCAACTTCTTTATGTATGCAGAAGGCTTCTGAGACGATCACAATACACATAACTTAAGAAAACCATTTTTCTACAGTGAAAGTGGCATATTGTAATCTAGCGCATGTGCATAACTGATTCATTTTTTATTTATTATTAAATTATAATAATTAGTTATGATTCATCCACAGCATTTGTAAATTTAATTTATAATTCTAAGGTTTATATTTAATGTTTTATGGTATTTTTTGTTTCTTTCATTATTTTAATTTTGTATTAAGAGAAATTTCTTTAATTTATTCATTTTGTTTAATGGCATGTATTATTAAACTTCAATATATACAAACTACTGCTATTCGGTATTTTATTTCTACATATTTATCCAATTGGATTTATGACATTTTAATTAATTAGTAAGGCAGTGCCAATGGTATGGAAAAGGTTTGTGTGGATTTGGTGCTTTATTTTTTGAAGACCCACCACCGCCACAATGTTTATTTTCAACTTTGTCACAAATGACTAAATACTTAGTAAGAGATAAAAATACTAAAAATTAAAGTTACCTTTAAGCTTGTAAAATCTTCCATTGATCGACAGAAACGAGCTCCTCGCATACCTTGCTGCATTTCCCGAAACAATGCAGTAAGTGCAGTTACCATAGTACGAGCACAGTTCACTTTATTTATTTCTCTGGCCTTACCAACAGTTGTTTTGATAATGTCACCATAATCATTGTAGGACTAATAAAAAAAAATTAATTTAAAAATATGTAACATAAACAAAAATAATTTAACCATAATTAGTTTGTAAATTATTGTTTAAAAAAAATAATACAAAAATATGACTTAATATGCATACGAGATAGACGAATAGAAAATAACTTTATTCTGAGACAAAGTCCCTTGAAAATAACATAAGAAAAATTAAAGAAATAAAAACGTAGAGAAAACATTAAGTAAACATACTACATTAGCCCTGGAGCCAGGACCCAAAAATCGACCTCATCCCAGGCAAAGGTTTGATTGTAAATTACGAAATTATATGTTATTCTGAGTAAAAAGAATCTTGTCTGCCGTTCCAGAGACGCTGCTTTAAAAAATGGCGGCTGATTTAAAGAATATTAGGCCAGTAATTTGAAGATCGAAACGGGAAATCCATTGCGAAAAATGTGAGAAAAGTTTTTTTTTTTTTAATTTGTATATAAGGGTTTAGATATGTAAAAAACAAAATAGCTAACACGGGGCACCAAGGGAAACTTTTTATAGCCAAAAAAGTCAAAATTTTTTTGATATTTTTTGTTTCTTCACCTACAACTCCTAAACGATGCATCAAAGCGAAAAATGTTCTCTTAATTCAATTGAAGAATGTTAAATTGTGTGTCGAATGAGTACATAAAGTTTATAATTCGGTTACGTGGTAAGGTGTAAAACCACGGCCAACCAACGCTGATTTTTATCAAATTTGTCAAAAACTGAGACAAATTACTATAAATGGCCCTGCAGCTTGAAAAAGAGCATCAAGTTTTGCGTCCAGTGAGTACCAATTAATTTAATGTAGATCACATACTTCGAACAAAATCGGTAATCTCACAATGGTTAGAAATTGGTAATGAAGACAAACATGATTTTCAGTATTTCAAAAGTATGGGTGTCTATTCTACTCAGTTATTTTGGTTCATAGTCTGTTTCATGTAGTACAAGCCTCTTTTCCACTTCTCAGTAGAGAAGGATTTTGATAAACAATGTGTCCAAAAATACCGAATTTCATAAAGGAATAACGAATCCCAATTCGAGATATATAATTGGTCAACAATAAAAATCTCAGTACTCAATGGATGCAAAATTTAATGCTCTACAACTTTGATTCTATGGTTTTTCCTCTAGGGAACTCATTTTTCAAGTTACAGGGCCATTTATAGTAATTTGTCACAGTTATTGACGAATTTGGTAAAAATAAGCTTGGTTAACTGTAGTTTTATACCTTACCACGTAACCAAATTATATAGTTTATATACTTGTTCGACGCACAATTTAACCTCCTTCTATTTAATGAGTAAACTTTTCCCACTTCGATGCATCGTTTAGGAGTTATAGGTGAAAAAACAAAAAAATATCCAAAAAATCTGACTTTTTTGGCTGTAAAAAGTTTTCCCTTGGTGGCTTGCTTTAGCGATTTTGTTTTTTACATTTCAAGTCCATATATACAAATTACAAAAAAAAAACTTTTCTCACATTTTTTTTCAATGGATTTCCCGTTTCGATCCTCAAATTACTGACCTAATATTCTTTAAATCAGCCGCCATTTTCGAAAGCAGCGGCTCTGGAACGTCAGACAAGATTCTTTTTCCTCAGAATAACACACACTTTCTTAATTTACAATCAAATCTTCTCCTGCAATGAGGTCGATTTTTGGGCCTTGGCTCCTGGGCTATATAAAAAACAAATAAAATTATATACAAAATGCTCAAAACTATGAATATAACAGTTGAAACTATAAACAATGTTCAAACAGTATAAATATAAACTTCTAAGAAAAGTGAAAGAAAAAATAAATTAATTTCTTCTTATAAATAAGTTCTGAGTTACAGCTAAGAAAAAAGAAAGCTGAATCTGTCGATATATTAGGGGGACCGGAAAGTCATTTCGTTTCTGAGTGTCACTATTTGATTGTCATTTGACAGCTCATTGTGTACATCTAAGTTGTGCCAATGACATTCTGGTGACTTGTTTAGTTGTTAATAATTAAATTTAAAATCTTTTTTTGCAATTTTGGGTGGAATAGCCAGCTAAATACCAGAGGAGGTATGTTTTTGAGTTTCGCAAGGGTGGTAATGCAACAGTCTTCTATGTTTATCCAAATACATTATATGTTCGTGGTTTTCCAAGTTCAAATCTGGTAATCTTCATTTTTCCGACTCTTATTGATCAGGAAAACCAAAAACGTTAGATAATAATGTGTTATGGGTGGAAGTGGAAGAAAATCTGTTTTAGACAATCGAGGAATTGTCAAACAATCTAAATCATCCTTGGTCAACCATCTAAAAACATTTAAAGCAGATTGAGAAAGCCAAATTGCAACATAACTTATTGCTTCAACTGCACAATGCAGAAGCATTTTTTGGTCACTAAGAACACTGGAGTTGAAAAATGGGTCCTCTATGATAATCCGAAACGCAATAGTAGTGGCTCTCACCGAATGAATCGCCACAAAGTACTGCTAAGCCAGGTTTACAGCCCAAAAAGGCGTTTTTGTGTGTTTCGTGGAGTGCTGAAAAATGGACAAACAGTGAATGCAGATCTTTACTGTGAACAATTGGATCACGTAAATCAATCATTAATTGAAAAGTGGCCAACGATTGTCAACAAAAAAAGTGTTATTCTGCAACTCAATAATGAAAGACTGCACTGCACAAGATGAATCCTGGAAACAATTAATTGATTGGGGTGGGAGGTACTGCTTCACCCACCTTACTCGCACAATGTTGTACCATCAGATTTCCATATATTCCAATCACTTCAACACTTTCTAAGTGACAAAAGATTTCTAAATTTGGTTACCCAAAATACCATATCTATTTATTTTGCTCAAAAACCAATTGATTTTTTCGATCCGAATTGAAAATTTACACACTAGATGACAAAAGGTTGTAGATAATGAGGGTGATTATATCATTGATTAACAAGAAAAACTTGTTAAAAATGCATTTGTTTTAATTTAATGTAAGAAAACAACATTACTTTCTGGTCCCCCTAATAATATACCTAAGTATGTAAATGCTGAATAATATGTAAATACATTACAAGAAGAGCATGCTCATTTCTTAACATAACTATATGAATGAATTCAATTGTATATAAAAAAATAATACTAATAAAAAAAATAGATGCATTGAGTGGTATCAAGAGTAGGAAATTCTTGTAATGTCACTAGCAAAGAACAGCACTATCATTCGATGATAAATGATGTGAAATAAATGTATAATGTTGAAAGGTTAGCAGATATCTGACGGTTTTTAGAACAGGAATTTTCGAATAGGAGAGTTTTGAATGTTTACACGGAGGGGGCATGCCGAATTTTGATATGAAGAGAATTCCAGAAATTGACAGTGAGCAACAAAGGAGCTTTGGAATGAGGCAGATTTGTGAGTAGAGATGTTAAGATTAGAAGGTAGAGATCTTGTGGTAAGAGATTGGACTGAGGGCTTGAATTGGAGAAGTTTGTAGGCATAAAAAGGACGATGGTTATGGATTATTTAACAGAGGAATGTACCTAGGAAATATTGTCTTCGGAAGGAGAGGAAGAGCCACCTTAACTCAGTGTAGTGGTCAGAGACACAGGAGTGTCTCTGTCCCAATTACAAATCTTACTAAGCTATTCATTAGTCTTTTCAGTCTATCACAGAGCTCCACTGGGAGGCTGTAGCCAAAGTGGGAGAAGATGAGAGAGGAAACTAGGAGTCTACGCATATATACATAATTTGAAAAAACATTTTATACACTAATTGATATTTTATAGAACAACGATATCACAAGAAGTATTTTCTGGATAAATCCTTACCCTAAATAGAAACCAACTTTATATCCTAAACAGTAATTAATTGAATTTTATCAGAAAATGTCACTGGTAAAGTTATAAAAAGAAAAATTACTTTCACATAATGTTTGAAAACATCAGCAGCACATGAAGTGGGTAATATACTATACACAATCAATTTGCAGTATGAAGCTAAAAAGTTTCTTCTTTTATGAAGTTCTGCTATTTTAGAATGTTCGTCCAATTCATCTGTAACATACCAAAAAATTACATAACAAGTGACAAGATGTTTTCAACTTTTAATGAGTTGTTATGTTTTGGTTATAATATCTGAGTTTTATAAAGGAGAACTGTTCATCAGCTGAAGTCACCATCACATTTACTTCTTATAATAGAATATAAAAATAACTATTCTGGGAACAAAGTCCTTTAGAAATAAAAGAAGGTGTTCAGAAAAATGAAGATTATTTCTGGCCAAAGAACCTATTCGTACTAGGTTTTTAAACTGAAATAACGTTCTGCTCTGAAATAAATAAAATGGTTATCCGACCACTGTTCATAACCACCCATGGTTTTAATTATTATTAAAGGGGTAATATGATATTCCATTTAAGAAATAAAATAAACACAACAATTATCTAATCAATAATTATTTAACCTCTGAGAACATTGACAACCCTTATCTTTTGACATCTAAAAACTATTAACTATTACAAAATGAAGCAATAAATTTCAATCAATTATATCATGTTTTTTTAATACATAAAAAAAACATCTAGTCTCATAATTTCCAGAATTTAGGGCAATTTACTTCAATTTTAAAACACCAATTTCTAAAACTTTATAATGAAAATTTATTTTCAAACAGAAACAAGTAAACTTTAATTACAGATGAGAATCTGAATAATGACAGAGAGGGAGCGGCCATAGAATTTTTAGGTAATTAGGGATTGGTGAAAAGATGTGGGGTTTTCAAGAAAAAAGAGAAATATAAAACAAGTGGAATTTGAAAAGTTAGGTTTAGATATCAAAAAATTTCGAACGGCATTCTGGAACAAGAATCAAGAGTTTAATACTTTTGATAATTAAGATGATAAATTATGTTGTTAAACTTAAAACTATATAATACAATTAGATATGTAGTTACCAAATGCAGTGAGCATGAATTCTAAATAAACTTTCTGGATATTTTTTGGATAGGTTTAAGAGGAAAATTTTATGGTAGAATTTCTTTAGTATATTTTTATTGGTATATGGAAATAATTGCAATTTCAAATTAAAATTTATTAAAGGATTCACAACAATAACTAACACAATTGAAGATTTAAGGAAATCAACTTACCATCTTCTTCATATGAAAAAACATTACTTTGGATGAACTCATTTAACATTACTTGAAAGCTTTTATCAGGTTCATAAACTAAACCACTTAAAGCAGCATGACTGTGTGTGGACAGTTGGTTGCAAAAAACAATAAGTAGATCACAAACAACAAGATAAGCCTGGAAAAACAGACAAATAATAATAATAATTAATTCTTTTTTCTTTGTTTTAATAACAAGCTCAGAAAAAGCTAACAAAAAATGAATTTTAAATAAACACCTAAAAAATAAATTTAATCATGAACATCGGACCTGAACATAAAAAATGGCACTATCATTAAATGGTGGCAGTGTTGAACACAACTTTTAAATGTTCTTAAGATTGGGTTAAATAGCTAATTTTAAGAGCTTGAAGAAATGTTTGTACAAATCCATTGCTGGTCTCACAATATTACATGATATAATGTGAAACAAAAAAAAAAAGAAAATGAAATTATAGCATTTCCATTTGTCTTAGAAATCTTTTCCATGCTAAATTGTCATTTTTTTTTTATTAATGAAAAATTAAAAACTGTTAAGTCTTGAATAAAAACGATAATTTAAAAAATATTTTATGCAGAAAGTAACTGCTAAAAGTTGAAATCAGCATTATAAATCATACTAAATCCGTGTAAACAAACTAAAATTCACTAGTTTGCATACTGGTGATTTGATTAATTACAACATTTTCATATTTGTTGATAAAGGAATCATTTTTTGGGTCTTAAAAAGCGTTAAAAGTTTCCATTAAGATACCTTTTTTTATTCCCCACTCTTCCTCGCCTGTAGGCAACAGGGGTGTTCCATTATAATATTGATAAAACCCTGTGTAACCACAGAAATTTAAAAGATTACACATGGAAATTCAAAATTACTAGCCTCAAAAGCTTAATAAATGATCCCTGCCTAGGCCAATTAAATATACAACTATAACATTAATAAAAAAATCTGATGCGATGTGAGTATCACATATCACCATCTTCTTAGCAGAAGTAAGTATTTTCAGACAAAAAGGAAGTGGAAGTAAAAATTAGAAATACTATGTTTATTTATATTTCATTGTGGGTATTTTTATTTGTTTAAGTACCCTTATGTATACAAATTTTAATATTTATATAGCTGTAATCTATACAATTTAATACTAAATAATAGCAACGATAGCATTCATGAAATCCGCATATTTATATGTACATAATATTCTCGAAGTCAGTATTATATTAAGCCCATGTTAGATATGAAAGCCTGTTCTAATCTTTCGGGCGAACTCATATTCCTTTGGGTCTATTACAACTATTCTCTGTTATGATCTCTTATTTATCCTTTATTTACTTAACAAATTCTTTCATTTTTTTATATTTAACTATTTTTTATATCATAGATCAATGTAAAATGGTTAATTATTTCAAATAAAAAAAAATTAAAGGTACTTTAGGGGAAGCTAATATCGAAAATTAGCCATTTAAGCTCTATTAGAGAACATCAATGAGAATAAAACCTACATTATATTAAAAACTACTTATTTTTACACTGATATAATGAATTTAATCACAATCGTTAGCAGTTTTTGAGGAAATCGTAAAAATTTGTTAAAGTGCCACTTCCAGTAAGACAGTAAGATTTTGACAAAAAAGTTGCTGTGGCATCCCAGGCATATAAAAACCTTAAATATGTAATTTAACTTTCGTACGACTTTTCGTTTTAGGAGCTAGAATGTTAACACACAAACATGCACACAGACCATTTTGTGGAACTTACCCGTTATTTTGAGTCAGGGAACCTCAAAACTTGTATTTCTGTTGAAAACTGAGATTCGAAAATTTTCACGATTGCAATACTTTACTATATATTTCATACATAGGTAAGTGAAAGTAAAAAATTCCGGCACAATTAAAAATCAAAATTAGTATTTGTAAAAACCTAATAAACTATACCTTTACAAATTAAACATTTAACAACGAGATTTAATTGAAATGTGCAAAGACAATGAAATATCTGGTTTTAAATTTGAAATGAGCACCTCCAATCTAATAAACACACGTCTGATAACAAATTCTGATTTTTTCAAAACAATATTTAGCATCTAGATCCAAAATTTCTAAATAAAAGTGATTCTTCTTATAGCTAATCAACCAAAACATATAATAAACTTTAACAATAAACAAATATAAAAATGCACATATATAACTACAACAGGTACTCTAGAAACAAAAGGTAGTTGAGCAAGTACCTCTTCTTTATATATTTGACTATGAGATTGAACAAGCATCATTTTCATTACTTCCATAAAAACTTCAAGTCTGGATTTAACATTTACAATTTTATCATCAGTAGGCCCTCCAGATTCAATCAATTCTTCTATGTGATAAAGATCCCAAAGAACACCGAAGTAGCATGAAGATATACAATACTTTACAGCCTAAAAAATAATATTAACACAGTAAATATAATAATAGCAACGATAATAATAATAATATAGGGAAAATAATCGCCAATATCATAACTGCATAAGTTAGTTTCAGGAATGAAGGCTTGAATTCAGAATAATTTTTTATATATATATATATATATAATATATTTTAATACTTTGATGGCCGGACCGTTAGCGTTTGGTTTTTATTAGCAAAAAGCTCGCACAAGTGTGTGATGCTACTGCAGAGAGTTATTGGTTATTGATAATATATTAAATTAATTCTTCAAAAATGTTGCCAGCACCTGGTCATATTTGACTGTGCAATAATGACAACATTATGCAGCAATAATGTTAGTTGAGAAATTAAGGGTAAAAATATAAAAGGAAAGCCAGAAAAGTTTTAGAGACATTTCTCTAATCAGAACAAAATTCTGAATTTCATGATAATGAAGTAGAAAAAAATGATGAGATTTACATCAAATAAGGTGAATAACCTAAAGTAAAGAATTTTAAATGAATTACATTGAAATTTTTGGTATTTAAACATATATATATATATATATATATATATATATATATATATTATATATATATATATATATATATATATACATAAAGCTCAAAACTGAACAGAGATATTATTAATACTACTTTAATTCCATTCAGCTTCATTTTTCAGACAAAGTCCAGTACCTTTGCTTTCTCATAGATCAAAGACTAATCTGGAACCCACATACTACACTTAAAAGACAAGAACTTAACAGACGACACAGCCAACTCTAACTTATTTGGCGTAGTAATTAAAAATAATATTTTTTAAAATTTAGTATTTATAATCTCTATCTTAGTTATTATTCGTATGTACATGTTGTGTGAATGATTAATGTAGCCTTAAAATTAATGGCCTTTAATGTGGCAGAATGTATAAATATTAGATCATATATATATATAACCACCAAAAATATTTATTTTTTAGCCATTTTCTAGTCAACAGTGTTGATCATCAAACAGAAAAAAAACTTCCAAAAACTGAAACTAATACCATGATGAAACTCTGTTAGATTAAAAAGCCACTGGAGCCTTATTTTTATACTACAGAATACACTATTTTTATCAATATGAGGTAATGAAAGTATATCAGCGCTTACTTCTTCAGGTAGTCTCGTAACTCCATATTTTGCCCCTTCAACATCTTTGAATAAAGAACTCCAAATATTCCAATTTCCTAAATTATGACAAGAATAAAAAATAGATACTTTCTTTAAACTGTTAACAACATTGTAAGTTTCATCATCATCTGGCGTTTCTTCCTAAAAATATAAAATGAATGATATAAAGAATAAAAAATACAAAAAAAAAACAAAAAAAAAATACAAATACAAACCCCTTCAATAAGTGTATTCCATTCATCCATTGCTTCTTTATATTTATTAACAATAGAATCAATTAAAGTACTTCTTTGAACATCACATCTAGTATAAATAGCAAATCCTTCAGTGCAGAGTAGTTCTAAAGTTTTAGCGCAAGTTTCTAGAACTTCTGTGTCATGATGTTTTTCAGTGATGCTTTGAATTTTTTTTAACAACAGGTCTAAATTCTAAAAAGCAATGAAATCAAATTAAACATGCACACATAAGAAATATACATGAAATAACTTTATAGACAAATGTTAACATACAGCTTCTTGTCTTGATGTAGTATAAATTTCAAGATCGAAATGTTGTGGTACTGTCAATAGATTAGTCAATTTGTCTGGATCAGCACTGTACTTATCCAACAACTGGGGTAAAACAGCAATAAAATGCTCAGTTAATTTTTGTTTATCATCTTGCACTTGTTTGATTTCTTTTACAGAGGGAATCTGATTTAAAAATAAAAAATAAAGCCTCAAATAATAGGAAATATATTTATATTTATAACAACTTGTAATAAAATATAGATCTACCTTTCTTGTAGGACCCCTACCAACAGGTGCTTCACCAGTTGAAGCTTGTTTCACACAGCATACCATTATTTCGATTAAACTAGTTTCTTGCCTGTCATCTAATGCTTCTTCATTAGGACCTGGTTCCTCTAGTAATAAATCTGTCATACATTCCCAGTCTTTCATCATTGCATTACTTTCAATAAGAGAATCAACTAAATATGCACCATGTTCATGAAGCTAAAAAAAAAAAAATTATAAATTTTTTAAATAGACATTGTAATATAGTTCATTAAGACTTAATTTTTATTTCTAATAATTAACTTCACTTTGATCCATTTGTTCTATTTTATATTTACAGCACCCACGTTTCAACCCTTCAGATAATTTTTAAGGAACAAACTTATAATTGATTAATTAATTAATGAATTTAATTTATTAAGGGTTTTCTTTGAAAATGGCCTATAGGATTGAAAATAATAAAGTAAGGCAATGGATTAAAGTGAAGTTTATTATTAGACATTTTAAAAAAATACTTATTAGAAGTAAAGGTTAATTCTTTGTTCTTATTTTAATTTCTATAAACCAAAATACTTCAAATTATTTTAATTACTTGGATAAATTCTTAATTGAAACTCATGTTTTTTTAAAAAAAAAAAGTAAAGCTTACAACATTTTTTCCTGAACCCATGTCTGGAATCAGAAACAACAATAAAAATTTTTGGCAGATCCATATTTAATAATTTAAGGAATAATTTCATAGTATTTTTAATTCAATAAAAACTATTTTCCTATTTTCATTTACCTGAGTATCTAAGGTAGAACCAACAGAATTCAGTAAAGAGGAAAGTCAAAATAGCAACCAGAAAATTAAAATGATAAATACAGGTGGAACAATATCACAATTTAAACGGATTATCGCAATTGAAACAATTGGACACCCGACTCAGGATAAGACACTAGGCTGATCCTTGGGCACCTCCTTGATGAGAATTCTCCAGAATGCAACAGGTATAACAGTCCCTCGATCACTGAACATTTCCTGAAAAACTGTCAGCGCTTGCGTTCATCGAGAATTTTGCTATGCCTCCGGAGCTACTGTCAAGCCTTACATGAAAACCAGAAGAACTTACTCTAGTTCTTGAAGAAAAATAATCCTTAAAAACTGATTTAAAATGATGTAACTAGAATACAGTGCCTCTAACTTATTTTGTTGTACATGGCACTTTAATTTGTAACCAAATAAATAAGCATGGCTCTTACCCCGTACTTAATTTAATAACAACACTTGTGGATGCTGGAAAAGAATTTTGTTTAAACTGAAAGATAAATATAAATAAAATGGAGCAGAAAATACGTTTTAGGGGGCATTGATATTAAGGGGAATACACGTGAACATGTGTAGAATTTTGTTTTCATAACCAGAAGTATCTGAGTATGATCAGAATTATCCGGGAAGTATCAACATAAATTAGAATTGCAAGAGGAAATAGAAAGGGCTAGTATTAAGGGCTATTTGATAGATGATGGTGGCATAAGACAGTATTTTTCTGACATTAAAGTGATACGTGGTGCTGAAATCGGAAGCGATCGTATGTTACTAATACCCAATACTAAAATTCCGCAGAGATGACACTTCAAAGAAAACAGCTACTGAACGTTAAATATACAAACACTAATCAACCCTGAAAAGAGAACCCCCTTCACTGAAAAATTTGGAACATTGAATCTGGAGGATGATTGGAGCAGCTATAGTGCCATTGCAGGGCCTGTATCTTGGAAGTGGCAAGAGAAGTTTATGGTTTGTATAAAATATAAAGCAAACAAAAGCACACAGAGTGGAGGAATGAAGAGGTTCAGCATGTTTTCCACTTAAAGAATAAAGCATGGAAAGCCTATCTCCAAGAAAAAAAAAATCAATACCATGAGACATGAAGGTAACTCCTAGGGACTGGGACCACAACATCATTGTCTCTAATTAATTAATAAGAAGGTAGCTCCACTAATTGTGGAAATGACAGGCTTTATTGAATCTGTATATTCCAGGCTATCTATTGAATCGGTTTACCAGGAAGTGAAAGGTGTTGTGAGGATCAATGAAAGGGAGTCTGGGTTTCTCCCATAGTAAAGTGGTGAAACAAGGAGAAGCCTCAGTATCCTCTTATTCATCATATTTATGGATGAAATTCGTAAAATGTGTAACTAACTAACTCCATAGAGCTACAGACTGGTGTGGTCCTTGCCCGCCTCAATGAGCCCCCGCCAGATGGCTCTATCTTGCACAGTCGCTCGCCAGTTGCAGGCATGCAATACTTTTCTGGCGTTCTGGATGATGGCGTCCTCCCATCTTAGACGTGGTCTGCCTTTTCCTCTTGTCCTCCAGAGCTTCCCATCAAGTAACTTCCTTGGGACTTCCTCTTCTGGCATTCTGGCCCCATGGCCAGCCCAACGTAGTCGTCCAAGCTTGATGCACCTCAACACATCTCTCTCCCCATACAGACCATGTAAAGAAAGATCTTCCTTTCAAAGATTAGTAAATCCTTTTCTTAATTGATAGAGAGGGTCCAGCTTTCCGATTCATATGTGAGAACAGGCATTCATATATATGAGGCATTTTGTATGACGGGAGATGACAGAGCTTCCAAGGTGTTTGCTGAGGCCAAAATAGCACGTTTGCCCTTATTATTCGCTGGTTGACCTCCAGGGATATTCTAATTCCACAGCTTACAATAGCTCCCAGATAGGTAAACTGGTCTACATTGTGGAACGTAAATGGGCCCATAACCACCGGTATTTGTACTGCGGTCTCTGTTTCAGGTCCTGCTCACATATACACTGACAGGCAAAAAAATTCCACCCAGTTGTAAAAAAAGTTGTATTTGTAGATAATACTTAGTATTTATATATCTCATCTACATAGCAAATGGCTGTCAAAGACCCTCCACGAACAACAACCAATTATGTGTGGCGCTCCATTGAAATCCCAGCCCACACCATTAAGGAACCACTTTGGAAAGGTTGGCTCTGGGAAAAATTACAGGCTGCATATCTTCCGTTTCTTCTTCTCCCACCCTTTCACGCCCGCCTGGAGATCGAAGAGTGAATCTTGACTCATCTGTAAAAAGTACAGCACTCCATTCGTCCATAGTCCAATGGCTGTGATCTCGAGCAAAAGCCAGCCGTGTTACTCTGTGAGTTCTGGTCCTCTTACTGGACCAAAAGCCATTAATCCATACTCATTTAATCTTCTCCGAGCGGTAAATTCAGAAATTTGCACACCTCGAACTTCTTCGAGCTGATGAATCGCTTGAACAACGGTGAAGTGCCGGTTTCATAAAATTCTCAAAGTCAAAAACCGGTCATCCCGTGGTTCTGTTACCCTAGGCCGTCCAGACCCCGGCCTTCTATTGTAAGAAACAGTTTCCCGAAAACGTCTGATGGCGTCTCGTAAAGTTTCAAATGGAACTCCGATGGCATTAGCTGCATATCTAATGGAACGTCCATCATCAATAAGTGCCACACCTCGCGCAACATCCTCAGCACTAAGAGGCATTTTTAAACTTAATATTGAAAAAATTAAAAGCCGGAGACTAAGAAATGTGCTGCAAGAAACGGCACTGAACTAATGATACTGAATAAACATTTTGATTCCATAGAAAGTAAACATTGGAATCTAGAATCATTTCATTGAATTAAGGATTAAGGGTTATTGTCCTCTATATTAACATTCCTAATTGAAAACAAACAAAAAGATTACCTATTTATTCATTAAAAACAATAGACCAATCCAAAGCAGAAATATTTTTAGATGAAAACATGGAAAAAATCAAGTGGGTGGAATTTTTTGCCTGTCAGTGTACATTGTCTTTTCCTGGTTTACACTCATTCCCAAAGCTTCTGCCGCTTCAGCCAACCTTAAAAATGCACTTTTAAGAGACTCAAAGGAACATGCTATGAGATCTAGATCGTCAGCAAATCCCAGTATTTGCGTTAATCTGTTAAAGATAGTGTCAGTAGTCTGGATCCTCAAGTCATGGATCACCTTCTCCCAAGCCAGGTTAAACAATAGGCGGGCAAAGCCCATCCCCTTGCCTGGAAACAAATTCAGGTGTCAGGTCCTGTACCTGAAAAGTGCACCTAGCATCATCCATAGTCATCTCCATGAGGCGGACAAGTTTTGGGGGAACTCCAAGGTCACACAGGGCTGCATACTGTTGAAGTGACTTGATGCTGTCGTATGCACTCCGGAAGTTAATAAACAGGTGATGGGTCATCATCTTGTACTCTTGAAACTTTTCCAGTATCATACGGAGGCTAAACATCTGGTCAACTGTAGATCTTTCTCCTCTGAAACCCGCCTGATACTTACCAATCTCTCTCTCAGCAAAAGGGAGGATTTTGCAGTAGATGTTTGAGAGGATCTTATATACATACTGAAGAAGTGAGATCCCACAGTAATTTTAGCAGTCGAGTATATTACCCTTCTTGTGGAGTGGATAAATTATTCCCTTCTTCCACTGATCTGGCATTTTCTCTTGGTCCCAACTAAGCTGTCACATTTCTCGAAGTGTTTTTCTTCTGTTCCCTCCTGTCTGATTTATAAAATCCTTTTAAGAAATCCTGGGACTGCCTCATGGTCTCCTCTCAGTGGGTCGAGCTTCCATTGCTTTCAGTGGTTTTCTCTGGTCCTTCATTTGACAAATGTGACCAAACCACTTTTAACTGTATATTTTCAAGTGAAGTCTTTAGATCCACCACCTACCTCTAGCCCCTCCCTTATCCATTTATTCCTGATTTGGTTCTTCTTTTTCTTTCCAGCACGTCACTGCAGGAATTTCATTTCAGCACCTATCACCCAGCTGGCCTGCTTGCCTAACATACCCTGACTTTCACTTCCATAAGTGAGAGACGGAGGAGAAGAGACTACACAGACGAAAGAAGAGAGAATGGGAAAGGCGACAGCTAGAGGAGATGGAGGAGCAAAGGAGACAGAATAAATCAAGGGTCCGATTATGTCGAAATGAAGACGGCTCCATGATCATAGGGAAGGACCAGATTTTGGCCCGATGGTCTCATCATTTTGATGCACTTCTAAACGAGGCTGCAGATGGTCCTGACGATTTCATAATCCCATTATGAGCATGACCTGGACTCCCCAGACCCTTCGACATGTGAGGATGTTCTTGAAGCAGTCAACAGGCTAAACAACTACAAAGCCCCAGGAGAGGATCAAATTCCTTCTGAGCTTCTCAAGCATGGTGGCGAGGAATTCCACAGAGCTCTCTACGACATCATCCTCACAATCTGGATTAAAGAGAAAATGCCAGATCAGTGGAAGAAGGGAGTAATTTATCCACTACACAAGAAGGATAATATCCTCGACTGCTCCAATTATTGTGGGATCTCACTTCTTCAGTGTGCATATAAGATCCTCTCAAACATTATCTACTACAAAATCTTCCCGTTTGCTAAGAGAGAGATTGGTATCAGGCGGGGTTCAGAGGAGGAAGATCTACAGTTGACCAGATGTTTAGCCACCGTATGATACTGGAAAAGTCTCAAGAGTACAGGATGATGACCCATCACCTGTTTATTAACTTCCGGAGTGCATACGACAGCATCAAGACACCTCAACTGTATGCAGCCCTGTGTGACCTTGGAGTTCCCCCAAAACTTGTCCGCCTCATCGAGATGACTATGGATGATGCTAGGTGCACTGTTCAGGTACAGGACCTGACACCTGAGGGGGAGGAATCGAGTCAATACCACTAATTATGGAGAACACTTTATCACATCAAGACCTTTTTTTTTTCTCAATACTATCGAATGTTAAAACTTTATTTCAATGTGAGTGTTAAAATTGAGTCACACAAAAGAAGAAACTTCCACACTTCCTCAATGAATTTTCCAATAGAGGAACTCTATTTCTTATCGCACTAGCACTCTGTAATATGAAACTGAATAAATAGTACCAGAGCAGTATATTAAATTGTACTGGTGCGGTATATCAGCTTCTGTTAAAAAAAGGATGATTCAATACTAGGCAATATATATTTTAGCCAATACACGACCACCTACCACTGGTGGTTGCTCGCTATAGTATGTGAATCAGGCTTTATGCTTTGGCAGGATTCATTGGAGGGAAGTATGTAGTTTGAGATTATTATTGAACATCTGCATCAAAGCTCAGTTCCTGGTTTATTGTGCCTTGTGATTAAATATTTCAAGTTCAGATATTGTTTTACATAATTTTTCATTAGTTGTTTTTCCAACTGGAGTTAAGAGCCAGCATCACTTAAAATTAATACATTTTGAGATTCTTAAATTAGATTAGTCTAGCTGCTTCTATTATAACATCTTGTTTTATCTTACAGTTGTCAGAAAGGTTAAATATGGAGATGTTATTCCTGTGACTCCTTTTTTCGTTGCTTCTTTATTACTCATTGGTCGTGCTAGATCCAGGGATGTATCTCAATAGACAAGAAGAAAGATAAGTAATATTCTCAGCTTTATAAAATGGGAGAATGGATTTAAAAGAGTAAGCAAAATAAACTCCAAAAACAAAATGTTAGTTGAAGCTGATTTCAGAAAAAAAAAAAGCATAATGCCCATCATTTCAAAACACGGTTAAGGATAGAGGAGATAAATGTTAACTGGAGTCCTTTATGGAGGGAGTAATGACGATGATTATCCACTAAACAAATAACATGATATTCAATTGGCAACCAATTAAGATTACTCTTATCTTATTTTTTAAAGTAACCATATAAGAAGTTTTAAAATAATTATATATTCCACATTACACAGTATTATAAATTAAAAGTTTATACTCACTTCAGACTCTATGAAGAACTGTACTAAATCTCTAATCAGAGGAGTATTTGGAAGCCTCTTCTTTCCTCGTTTCGTTCTTTGAACAGATACAACTTCCTCTGGTACAAATAATCGTTCATTTAAAAACTCTCCAGCTGCTTGAGCAACTGCTCGATGAGATGAATAAACTAACTCATAAACATGCTCACAATCTTTATCAGTCAAAATATCCCTATGATGCCTAATAGAAGGGAATAATTAGAATAATGATGCAAAAATAATGTTTCAAAAAGTTATTTGCTTACTTTAAAATACTGATAACCAATCTGACAGCCTGAACTGCTACATCATATTCTTTGTCAAGAGTCATTGAAACTATTCGGTCCTTAAATTTACTGGTGAATAGCTCTAATTTACCTTTCAATTCTTCAGAAGCATACAGTGGTTGCAATGCCTATGAATTAAAATAACAAATATATAAAGATCCTTCCTTAATCACACTCATTTATATGTTATATCTATTAACAGATTTTTCCCTAGGATAAGTAAACATAGCCCATTAATAATTTTTTTGTCTATAATATTCTGACCTAACTAGGACATCTTTAATCTTCTTTAAAATATTTTTATTTTAAAAAAAGGGTTATATGTATTTTTAATATAAACTTTCATGTTAAAAAGCATTTTTTATATCATACAATCAACTAACTAAAAATGATAAGCTGTACTTAATATTAATAATATGTCATTAAAATTTGCATAAGAAATATCTTTGAATTTCTATTTAAACAAAAATGAGTTCTATGTGAGGTATAACACTTATTATTCATTATGGTAAACATAATCTAAAATCTAATTAAAGGTGGGGGTGGGGGACTAGACCAGAAAGAGACCCTTTTGGTCTTTTTATACCAATCGCTGATGGCTAACTTCAAGGTTGCCACCCTATACTAGCCAGTCAAGATTCATTTCATGTGAAGGTCATGGAACAAATATTAATTAACCCAGGTAAGAATGAAATCCAAACTGTTCATGTAGTGTTGAGAGCCAAACAAGGTAGTCTGGGATTCTTGCCCAACACGCTAAGGTGTAAGACATTAAAACCTACATAGTACTGTTATTAATTAAATTAGTAAATATAATTATAACCTATTCCTTAAAAACTAATTTTTCATTCTGTTACATCAACCATGGGATCAGAAGACCCTCGAAAAAGTAGGCACTTTTAATTAAAACCTGCCAGTTGAGTGTGATATCAGCCCAACCATCTCCCTGCACAACTGTTGGCTTTGAATCACTACTTCCTAACAAAGTACTGAAAGAATGACTCTCCATGGGTTGTAGTAACAAGATTTATTTTTTCAAACTCTTCTCTATCCCCTTTTCCTGCTTTTGAGACATTATTCCCTACATACCTTTCATCCACTATAATAAAATCACATACTAATCTACTATGGCAGAAGAATACCAGATGGCATTCCCTTATTAATACCTTTGGAGAATAGCAGGTCGAAGATAAAGAGATTAAGTCAGGAGTGAGAGGATACGAGAAGACCTTGGAGTACCCATCAGCAATGCTAAGAAGAGTTTCTTAGAATCTTGGTAACTTTTCAAAGCTCATTATTTATAAGATGGTTATAATCAGGATAATTAAATCAAATCTCATTATAAATAAAATATAATTACATCTATAATGCAAAATTTACAAAGGTCAATTTACAAAATTACAAATTTATAGTTCTTGGTACACATTCCTTTTTATCAACTTTTTAACACTCGTCTAAAACTTCATGAATGGCTTCATTTTATCATAACCTACAACTTTTTTGTGATAAAATTATCTCACAAGTGGAAAGCAACTAGGTATTCATGTGTTTTTAGTACCTCGTTAAATTAATTGATTTAATCAGAAAATGCCCCATAACTGATTTTTGTAGATAAAAAGTTATGATAAAATGAAGCCAATGGTGGAGTTTTAGACCAGTGTTAATAATTTGAATAAAAAAGGGAACAGTGGGTACTTGCTTTATTCACATTTTTTTTTCATAATGATATTCTTAAGGTAAATATTTAATGATATTAAGTTCTGGAATGAAGTGTTTTATCTGATTTGAAGGTTATCTGATAATCATATACTAATTCTACTAATACCAAGAACTGTGCGTATTATAAGTTTCAAGGATATAAGATAATTGATTAACTTTTGTAACATTACCCCACATTCTTTTGTATACACATTAGATATAGAAAACAAAAATTTTAAAAAAGAAAATAATATACATATATATATTCATGATAAATACCTGTAAGCATTTTAGTCGAACTTCTCCAACTTTATCATGAAGTGTCCAACCAATATATTTTAAGTATGAATCATCCAAAAAATTTTGATGAAATTTTTTCATCCAAATTCCAATTTCAGCCATACATATAGCTCTAATTTCGGGTAATGTATCCCTGGAGAAATTAATGTACATATATAAAAATAAGTCAATAGATTATGTGAAAAGTGAAAGAAAAAAAAATACAATGGAAATAAGCACATATTTTGTGAATAATATTCAACCTTAAATTAATTCAAAACTCAAAATGACGTTTTATACAAAACAAATAAAAAGATATTTAAGAACATAACTTGAATAAAACCAATTAATCATGCTGTTAATAAATTTTTATAATTAAAATTTTTGACTTTTTTTAACAATTCCAATTAGCAAAATTTTTGCACACACAGTAATAAATCAATGGCAAATGAAATCTTTACTACTCTTTTAATTTAAACAAAACTACAACTGTAGAATTTATGATATATAAATTTTATTTGTTATTTCTAATGACTGACTAACTTTGATAATTAAAATGGGAGAATATTTGAAACAGCCTCAAATTTTGAACCACTGAAGATAATGTCATTTGTATGACTAATTTAAATAAATACTTTTGGGTATGTTTTATTATTCATAACAATACACTAACTTTTTTTATTTGTCAGATTAACACATGTAATGAATTATACTATACTCAACTATCCAAAGAAGTTATATTCTTATATTACAGATAAATTAGCACAAATATATATATACTTTTCAAGAAAAGAAAATTGTCTACAACATTTTCCAGTCAATTTCCCTAGAGAACTAAAGTCTGAGTAGTAAAAAAGATGAGTTTCACAAAAATGTGAGGCTAACACCAATTTTCTGGAAATTGATAATTTAAAATAGCAAATATCTAGAGAACCATAACAAATATGAAAAAATAAATAGAAACATTCTGAAAGAAAATTTTATCACCTTTAACTGTTGATAAAACAACTTTTTCTTTATGATGCATCATTTTTTAAATATTAGAAAAAAAATGGATCTTTGCAGCACTTCTCCTACCTTGAAGTGTCAGGGACAATAATTATGTTTGCCTCTTAAGTAACTTTGAAGCCTGGTATCCACTATGTTGGCGAACCAACAGTGCTCCAAGCTTATAACAGTTCAAGAATATTTTACAGTGCTCCAATGGTCGTCAGTTTTTGTCCAAACTGAAAGGGGAGCAGAACAAGTTCGTGGACAGCATATTCAGCCAACGTTAGTCACTTGTGTACCATTGTGCAATGAAGTGGAGACACAAAAATGTCTTTTGCCTTTATTACATTTATGTTGCCTTCTAATGCAGATATGATAGCCTCGCATCGCAAATTTCAGGGACGAATTAGCTGATGGCTTGCTTCGAAATTTTAAACAAATATTGCAAACTAGTAAAAATATCATCAGTGGCCAATGTAATGTTACAGCGAGATTATCCTGAGCTGATATAAAATTTTGGAACATATTGTCTCAGAAAACCAGACAGCTCCTTGTAACCTCCCTTATGTTCCCCCACTTCGACTACAGCTGCTTGGTGTATGGAGGGCTATCTGCCAGGCTAGAAATAAGATTAAAGAAGCTCATGAACTGTTTCATAAGATATATATTTGGGATCCCCAAGCGCTCTCATGTTTTTTTCAGGTACACTGAGTTGGAGAGGCTTTATCCCACTTCCCGACAACAATTCTTCCTTGGAGTTTTCCTTTTTTAAGTCCTTAGTACCAAAAATCCTCCCTACATCCTGGAACTCCTTATTTTACGTTCCTCTATCCACTCTCACAATACCAGGTCTCAACCTATAGATTAATATAACCCCTCCCATAAAACTACTTCCTTCAGCAGATCCTTTTGGAACCCTTTATCTAACTCTATACCTCAATCCTCGTCCACAAATTCCTTCAAACAATGACTGTTCCACCACTTACTGCATATTCAAACTGCAGCAAACATGTAAAATTCACTTGCGTCTGTACAAAGTCTAATTCAATCAACTGCACAATTGCAAAAACAATCAACAGTTAATTAGACATTTTGTATCCATCTAAGCCAGACTAATGTTCTTAATTATGTAACTCTGCTATTATTCTTAGGGGACTGTAGTCTCAGAATAAAATTATTTTTTCATTTCATTGTCTTTTCTTTGAATAAACAGTTGGTAGCACCATTTAAAAGATTTTAGAAATTTGAAGAAGACATTCACAAGAAATTTCTGAAGTGTCTGTATAGTTTTTGAGATCTTAGGTCCAACAGTAAATCATTTTTAGCCTTCTCTTAATAAAATTTTGCTTGCCAAAAAAAAGGTCTTTTATCACCTTCTACCAAATGATGAATGAAAATGTAGGCTGCACTTGCCACTAGCTCAGATGACATGTTGTTATTTCAACGATGATGTGAACACTGCAGAACACTTGTAGAGCAGCCCTTCGCAAACCCTGTCCTCATCAACAGAGTTACAGGAGCGCAGAGCACAGTTGGTTTGTGAAAATAATGGATAACCAGCTTGACGAATTCCCAAAGTTAAATGCTTTGCTTAAATGCTTTTCCCATCTCCATGCACTCTATACTCTCCTTTTTTGTCATTCATTGACTGGACTCATTAAGAATCATAGTTTTAATCTTTTGTTGTTAGCTCTACGTAATTGAAAGGCAATATGTCAACTTGCATACATATTACTTTAAAATAAAAAAAATATATGGCTAGTGTGAATTCCCATGAATAACTTAGTATTCACATTTTATCTGCTTGATTCAAAATTTGAAAATCAAGCTGTTAAAAAAAACTAAAAGTTTAGGCCTTAGAAATTAAGTAACATTTCTCTAACTGTTCAAAAAAACCAAAAGCTTTACAAGTCTCACAAAATTTAGGCCAGAATAACATTAAATGATCAACTGGGATGTCTTGATAAATTTAAAACACGTCACAGAATTTAAAAAAAAAACAATATGTAAGGAGATAGGTTCTATTGATATTTTTTTTTCTCTAAATTTGAAGGATAACACTATAAAAGTAGCCCTGATTTAGTCTCTTAAGCCCAATTTGGAAAACAAAATAGTAATGCAACAAAAGGTTCAAACAAAAATTACAGATTAATATAAAAATGTATTTAAACTGTATAGCTGTGTAAATTCAAAAATAAATGTTGTTTAAATGAATAAACTATATTGATACACGGACCAAAGAGAGAAAAGAGTGAAAAAATATAGGCACAAAAGAAGGTTAGCAAGCGCATCTGAATACTTTGTGTAGTTCCAATCGGGCTTATACACAAATAATAACGATAGTTGTAGTATATCATTGATATGGTTCATACATAATACAATTCCGTAATTTATATTTTTATTTTCATTCCAGTTTCCCTAAATTAGACGCCTCTCTGTAGTAGACACAATTTCATTCCCCCATTGGTATCTGTCTACATGTTTTCATCATATTTTTAAGAAGAGGTAAACTATATCAAAATAAATGAATCAGAACATACACGTGCCAAAAACAAACAGGTCACATTTTAAATAAATAAAACTTCTTAGATTGCTTTTTATTTATATTCATATTTTTTTTTAAATTTATATACACTGACAGGCAAAAAATTCTACCCACTTGGTTTTTCATGTTTTCATCTAAAAATATTTCTGCTTTGGATTGGTCTATTGTTTTTAATGAATAAATAGGTAATCTTTTTGTTTGTTTTCAATTAGGAATGTTAATATAGAGGACAATAACCCTTAATCCTTAATTCAATGAAATGATTCTAGATTCCAATGTTTACTTTATATGGAATCAAAACGTTTATTCAGTATCATTAGTTCAGTGCCGTTTCATGCAGCACATTTCTTAGTCTCCGGCTTTTAATTTTATCAATATTAAGTTTAAAAATGCCTCTTAGTGCTGAGGATGTTGCGCGTGGTGTGGCACTTATTGATGATGGACGTTCCATTAGATATGCAGCTAATGCCATCGGAGTTCCATATGAAACTTTACGAGACCCTGTCAGGCGTTTTCGGGAAACTGGTTCTTACAATAGACTCCGTACTTTTTACAGATGAGTTAAGATTCGCTCTTCGATCTCCAGACGAGCGTGAAAGGGTGTGGAGAAGAAGAAACGAAAGATATGCAGCCTGTAATTTTTCCCAGAGCCAACATTTCCAACGTGGTTCCTTAATGGTGTGGGCTGAGATTTCAATGGAGCGCCGCACAGAATTGGTTGTTGTTCGTGGAGGGTCTTTGACGGCCATTCGCTATGTAGATGAGATTTTGGAACCTCCTGTGTTGCCTATCCTCAACGAAATCGGTGATCGTTCTATTCTAATGCACGCCCACATGTCGCCCGCATAGTGCAGACGTTCCTTCAACAGAACAATATTGAGGTTTTAGCCTGGCCAGCACGTTCTCCAGATTTGAACCCCATTGAGCATTTATGGGATAACCTCAGAAGACGAATAAGAGCGCGTGCAACACTTCCTGATACACTGCAGGACCTTGAAAGGGCTCTTCGGGAGGAATGGGCTATCCTCCAGCAAAGGGACATTTCCCGACTGGTGGAAAGTATGCCGAGGCGTCTTCAAGAAGTAGTGAAGGCAAGAGGAGGAAACACGCGCTACTAAACGATGATGTAATTAATTTCTTTTAGAATAATAATGGTTCGTTTTTCAATTTTTTTTTCTCTAATCTTTCTTATCCAATCACATTTTGATTATTAAAGGTAAAAAAGATTATAAAATTCCATAAATACTAAGTATTATCTACAAATACCATGTATTATATACAAATACAACTTTTTTTACAGGTGGCAGAAATATTTTTAGATGAAAACATGAAAAAATTAAGTGGGTGGAATTTTTTGCCTGTTAGTGTACATGAATTCTCCAGTTTATCTAATTTAGTAAAGAATATCATATCTGATAGATGATGTCCTTCTTTATGTATTCTACAACTAGATGTATTATACATACAAATATATGAGTAACAGATTAGAATTTAGAACATTTTTATCTTGATTTAACTATATTATGGATCTATCTTAAGCACACCCACTCTTCTGTTTTCAGGAGAGATGTAGATTTATTTTAGAAATAATCTTTTCAACCCATCAAATTCCTCGAATTTGTTCAAAGCAAAAGTTTTAACATTTGAGCAAATATTTTCAAGTGAGTGAATGAGATTACATCAATAACTAGCATCAACTCCCTTAAAATTGTAATTAGATAGCCTTAGTATGACATTACATATTATTTTAGCACAAAAAAAAAAATAATAATACAAATTCTCTGTTTAAAGTTGCTTATCATTTTTAACTCCAGGTTTGATGAAATTAGGCAAACTACAGCAGTCATATATATAAATTTAAAAAAGTTATATTAACAATCATAGAAGTTCTATTTGTTTCAAAAGTGGGCATCCTTTTTAACTAACACATAAAAATTGACATGATTAATCGAGTAACAAAGAAAAAATATACCTGTATCGATGTACAAATACAGACTTGAACATGTAAGTAAGCATATTTTTTATTTCATCCATATTTTCTTCCAGTTCTTGCCGTTTAGTTAGTAAACTTTCAAGTCTATCACTAGCTCTTTTATCACGTGCCTTTTGTCTTTCAGACTCATACTGTCTTTGAGTATTATCCAAATTAACAGAAACAACCAAAGCAACATCCACTAATGCAGTCATTAACTTCATGGCTAAAAAAAAGTAAATAAAAAAAAAATAACCTCAGGAATTTAAAGTTAAAGAATTATTTCACAGATAGTAAAATCTCTTAGTACGACATTTTGATGTGGCAAAGTTGATAAATTAATAATGGTTTTTTGTTAATAAAGAAAATATTAATGAATACTACAAAATTTACTAGCAGTAAAATAACTCAAGTGATTGGATATGCTGATGATGTGGTACTGATTGGGCTGCCCCTCAAGGCGATCAAGGAGGCCTGTGAAAGGTTGCAAAGAGAAGCTAGAAGAATGGGACTATCCATAAATGAGGAAAAACAAAAATTATGGTGCTCAGGAAGAAAACACCTATAAATCCGCCTAAGCATTATGTAGTAGGACAATATGCGTTTCAATACGTGTCCAGTTTTAAGTACCTCGGCTCCATCGTTAATGATCAGGTTGACGAAGAAGAAGAAATTCAAAATTGGGTAATGGGGGCTAACAAAGCATATTTCGCCCTAAGAAGTTTCCTCCAGAGTAAGCTACTAAGCCAGGGTACCAAAATGATTATATACAAAACAATCATCCGACCTGTACTGACCTATGCCAGTGCAACCTGGACCCTACGCAAAAGCCTGGCTGAAAAGATTGACAATTTTGAAAGAAAAGTGTTGAGGCGAATCATGGGGCCAGTTAGAGAGAATGGTACATGGCGTTAAAGGAAGAACGAAGAGATCTACGACTTATTCGACGATCTCCGAGTTTCTCATTTCGTGCGAATTCAACGCTTAGAATGGCTGGGACACATTATAAGAATGGATGAAGGTAGAGAAATTATATTATGGAACCCCAGATAGAGTCAGATCACATGGAAGACCGAAGGGAAGGTGGAAGGATTTTGTGGCTGAGGACTTGATGATTGTGGGAGTATCCAGCAGACATGCTGCTGACCGAAATGATTAGGAAAGGGCAGTTGAGAGGGCCAAGGGCAGCTTCAGGCACCTGTCGAGCCGTTAAATAATAATAATAATACTTTACCTTACTATATATTTCATACAAAAGTAAGTGAAGCTTCTGTATTCCACTCTTAGTAAGGGAGAGAACTATTTGATATTTTTCCAATTAATTTAAATCACTCAACACTAACCTACTAATAAATTGCAACCAAAACAGTACAGTAAAGAAAAAATAAGTAAGAAATATGAGAAGCTATATTATATTTTAAAGAAATTTACAAATTCATTACCAGCAAGAGTTGCAGTATGCCTAAATGCTCTAACTTGGGAATCAGACAATCCAGTTAGTAGAGAAATTACATTATCCATTAAGTATTGATCATATATAATAGAATACTGGCATTGCTTTACAAGTTGAGCCACAAAATCACAAAAATTGGTTCTAAATTTTTTCCATTGCTGGCCTGACATTATCAGAGGATATTCTCCAGATTCCTGTAAAAATAATAAAAATAAAATAGCTAACTTTGAATTAGATGACAATGAAAACAGTTAACATTTGAATCAGATTTCACAGGGACAACAATAAGTTTTTTTAAATTTATTTAATTTAAAAACAAGGAAAGGAAGTTACGAACCCAATTAAAAAATATAAAGTTTATATCAAATGGTTAAACTAAATTTATTTTAGAATTTTGAAAGATAATTAAAAATAATAAATAAAACATATAAAAATCAAAATAAGTAATAATTATTATTAATATACAAACCTCATCAAATTCTTCTGTCATTTTTCTAATAATTGCAGCATGCTCCATATTCGCTGCCATACTTTGAGTAATTTTTCCTTTACACCCCGAAGCATTGATGAAAAATTGCATAAGAGCAAGCAGTGCATTGTCTTTGATTGCTTTGTATGATTCAATCCATTCATCCACAACAGTCTAAACAGATATTTTGAGAAAAAAATAATTAAAAATATAATAATGCTCATAAATGGGGAGTGGAAGTAGCCCAGTGGTAGGGTACTGAGCTTCCAATGCTAAAGGTTCCAGGTTCGAATCCCGGTTCAAGGCAGAAAAATTATTTATTCTGTTTCATTGGCCGTGGAGCGACCCTCGGTAGGTAGATCCTCCAGGGGCACACCCAGCCTCTATAAAGTGGGAACCCTTAATTAAATAAAATAATTGATTAAGGGGAAAAACCCAAGACCCTTCATGGGTTGTAGTGTTACAAGTTTTTTTTTTTTAATGCTCATAAATAAGAGCAAGCAGTGCATTGTCTCTAGTTGCCTTTTATGATTCCATCTATTCATCCACAACAGTCTAAATAATCATTTAAAAAAAAAATAATACAATATTTCCTAGAAGAAAGAGGGATTCAAATATAACCAAAACTAAACTTGCATATATATTCACATTCAAAATTATGTAATCATTTAAGGAATGTAAATAGAAGTTAAATAACATGAAATGTGTAAATATGTGTGTATTTATTTTTGGATTACTTATATGAATGTAGAAAAAATATTAATAAAGAGACATTGCTAAACCCCCCCCTTTTTTTTTTTTTAAGGGGAACTAAAATTTCCCAACAATTCCTATAGTTGGAACAAATAACCCAATAATACCAATAGTTATAACAAAATTTCTTAATACATTAATTTAAAAAATTGCAATATATTTGTATTTGTTTAATACAAAATTATTTTATTCTTCACAACACTTTTCAATTTCAACTTTTTTTTTTATTTAAAGGCTTCAACCACCCGGGTCATTGTCGCCTTAATAAAAGAGTTTGTCAACTTCATTTGTATTGTTCTGTAAAATAATGTGTAGATCATTTGTCAAGTCATTAGATAGTTTTAGTGTTTCGTAAGCTCTGCATTCTGTTAAAATGTGTTTCACTGTCAGAGGTGTCCCACAAGTTTGGCATGTTGGGGAAGAATCACAGGCCATGAAGTATCCATGAGTCAGGCGCGATTTCAACTTTACATTAATCTGTTATGAATAATTAGCATTGATTGATCATTATATATTTTCTCTACTTAAAAACAACATTTCATCAATAAAATCTCATTTTTTTTTAACTTAAAAAGATTTTGGTATTGGTTTAGAAGATTAGTAACTTTGATAGTAAAATGTTTCACCACATTTTTTGCAGTTTGAAGCAAGTTCACAAATCTCATATTTTCCAACTTTGAAAACACCTCTGGTGTTTCATTAAGAAATTCTTGAATGTGTTTTGGCACTAGGGCTTTAGAAGTTCATGTGACTTTTGGCATTTTATAGATTAAACAACATAAGTTTGCACATCTGAATGTATAATAAATTAAATTAGTAGAGCAGATTACTTCAGACTTACATGTTAAATCTAATAAGATAGAATTTTCATTGTAGGCAGATGGGACAATGTTATAAACACAAAATTCACCAAATTCCTTGCTGATTTGTTAAAATATTTCTCTTCAATAATTTTTTTAAAGCGACAACTGGAGGTTTTATCTAAATTATGCACTATAAAATTAAAATAAAGATTACAGACTACTATTTTAAGTCATTTGGAATTTTAATTTTTTTTATGTACAAGTTTACGTTTTATATGAGCAATTTTATTATTAAAATAAACTACTTATCATAAAAATATATTTAAGTTATTAATTTGAAAATAAAATGTTTTTAAATGAATAAAAGTTTTAATTTAAAAATAAAAATGTTTCAATTTATTTGACTTATAAAATACAAGTTTATAAATTTACTAATATATTTATTTTTTTGCCATGTTTTACTTCCAGTTTCTTTAAAATGGACATCTCTCTATAGCAGACAAAATGTGATTCCTCGTAGGTGTCCATCAATGAGAAGTTTTACTGTATATCTATCTTAATGGAATATAAGTAAATAATGACATTTTTCATTACCTGTAGAGATATACGAGCATTTCTTATTACATGATATAAACAAGCATCATCGTCTCCTGAATTTTCAGCATAAGTCTTCCTAGGAGGTCCACGGCGAGTTCTCGTAACTCTTTCTTCTGGTTGTATTCTTTTTTGAGTGGGAGGAGTAGGCGGTTGAGGGTTCGTTGCATCTATTTATAAAGCAAAGAGATCATTTTACTGATTTAAAAAAAAATTAAAATATTAGGTTTATAATTTTTATGGTCTTTAAAGGTAACATTATTTAGTCGAAATTCAAACATCTTTATAATTTCTTCAACATAACTCAATTAGTGAATCTATAACAGATCATCAGACTCAGACACAGACTCTATCCAATGCCACTTTTCCAGAGCAACAAGTTTCCAACAGGTTCTTAGAGTCAGCAACAATATAATTTCCCATCTAGCATAGGGTAAACCTTAATCTAATTTCATCTATTTGTTCCAGGAGGACTTTAAATGGCACCCTATTTTCGCTCATTATCTTCAGATGTACTACCTAGTTTTACACAGTCTTCCTTAAAAGACAGGAATCTATTTACTTCAGCAATGTTTTTTTTTATTATTCATTTTCCATCTTTCGGCAGCCCTACTAATCCCCTCTCCCATCTCTTAACTACACACACCCATCAACTCCTTGTCTTTCTACTTATTTTTTTTTTCATTTTAACTATGGTTTTGCAGCTTATGGTGGGATCACGTTAACTAGAAGCAAGAACAAAAAGAACTTTTTGAACCCTGGACACTAAAACACCTGATTCTGGAAGGAGTGTTAACTAAAAAAACATTATATGTAGAAAGTATAGCACCAGAAGCTGAAAATAATGTGAAAAATTAAAGAATAACAAGTCTCTAAGAAAAGGTAAACTATCCACTGAATAATTAAAATCTCTAGAAAACACTTAAAAGCAAGTTCAGCAACTTGGTACCCCCAGATTTGGGAAGAAAAGACTATCTCACTGGACTGGAAAAAGGTATAATTCTACCTGTAAAAAACAGAATACAGGTGAATGACAAAGAATCTAATAACAATATGAGTATTAGTTCTCTACGTATGATAAATAAAGTATTTATAAAAGCTCAGTATAATGGCTAAATGAAATCTTTGAGACTATTAAGATGACTTTCAATGATAAGTCCACCAATGAGACCTTTGTCATAGAGTATATTTGATCTAGGACAGGAGTCTCCAAACCTTTTGACCTGTAGACCACAGTCTTGTGATGAAAATATTCTATAAATGCTACTAAGTTGTGAAATTAGGATTCTAAAAGAAACAAATGTTTGCAAATGCAGTAAATGTTTTAATAACCTTGTGTTTGCGTGATTCACTAAATTTTTGTTTTAATTAGTTTTTAAAATTTTACTATTTAGTCAAGGAAACTTTTGTGGGTCAGATTGAAGGTGCTTGCGGGCTGGAGTTTGGAGAACCTTGCTCTGTGGTAAAATTAGAAGATGACCAGTGGTTAGCAAACTTTAGAAGACAAAGAGAAAAATCATCATGACAGACATCAGGAAAAATAATTTGTAATAATTAATTTTTTAATATAATTTAGTGAATAACAAATACACCATCATACCTACATTTACACAAATAATTTCCATGTAAGAGGTTGCCTTACAATTAATGAAAACAATGTACATGCATTTCTGTTGAAAATTTTATAATTGATGTATACAGGGTGTCCGGTAAGTAGAGGGAAATTTTTATAGGATTGATAGCAGACCTCAAGTAGTTCATAATAAACAATGGGCCAATTTTCAGCAGAAAAGTGGAAATCCAAGTTTTGCTTTTTTTTAAATATCATGTTTTTTGTTAAATAGAAAGTGATAACTATATGAATTATATAACAGCCCCAACATAGTTAATTTCTTTAAAATTAGGCGCACGGAATGGTTAGAATGGACCACAGCAGGATGCCTTATAGGGCATTGTTCCCTACAATGTATGGCACAAAAAGAAAGGGAAGACCAAGAAAAAGATGGCTACAAGATGTTGAGAGCGACCTTGGAACACTGAGCGTGAGGAATTGGAAGGAAAGAGCGAGCAAAAGAGATGATTGGCATGCTATAATTCAGGAAGCCAAGGCCCACCCTGGCTTGTAGAGCTACATAGTAAGTAAGTAAGGTAAGGAAGTGATTACTAAAGAAATGTTTAATTTAATTAATTAACAATTGCTTTGCTGTAAACTAGACAAAATTACTTCGAATGAAAATATAGTTCAATATTAAAATCATTTAAAGAGGACTTTTGAGCAACTAAACTAAGCTAAGTACAGTTTTGAAAAAAATCATAAATTATTTTTTTTCATTATCCAACTATACGACAGAGATATGCCACTTTTATGAAAACTTCCTCGTTTAAAATAAGCTTTAAGTTCATAGTAAGTAAGTTGAGGTTTATAAGACAAAAAATTGAGATTCACCTCAAGTTTTGTAAAGAAATGATGTGGCTTTCTATCCAGTCAGCTGACAGTGGCCACTTCCCTGTGATTGCCAAGTACAGACAGAAGCTGAAGGAAAGGTGGAAAAGGCAAGCAAATAGTATCCTATGGTATACAAAAATTGAAAGATGAAGCGATATGACAGAAATTTCAAGAACAAGTACATGAGAATAAGTATAAAATAACAACGTTCGTGCAGGGCTTGTCTGCAGAAGATCGCTGGGAATCCGTAAAGATAACTTGGACAAGCGGCTGAAGAGATCTTGGGAAAGAGACCAAAAGTTCTTGAGGATGACTGGTTTGACGATGAATGCCAAAGAGCGTACCAAGAGAAAAGTCAAGCACGGCTTCGAAACCTTCAGAGAAAGAAAAGGCAAACCATTGATCTTTACCACCTAAAAAGGAAAGAGGTTAAGAAGTTTTACAGAAGAAAGAAAAGGACAAAGGAGAATTAGAGACTAGGAAAACTGGAAGAGCATAACAAGGCCAAAGAATCAAGACAATTTTATAAAGATGTAAAAGAGTCCCAGAATGGATTCACTCCAAGATCCGACTCCATGAGGGATGAGCAGGGTAACCTACTTCATGATAAATAGAAAGTGCTAGGTAAGTCGCAGAGATATTTTGAGGAAGTATTAGGAGTGAGAGAAAAGGCCCAACATTCGATAGGCTCAAGGAACTATTTAGAGGAGGAACTAGAAGAAGATATTCTACCTGAAATAGAAGAGATTAGTGAAATTATCTTGGACTTTACAAAGGCACCGGGAGGGGATAGTATACATGTCAAAATGCTTAAGTACACAGAAGAGGTAGTGTACCAGATTATTTTTGATGGACTTCTGAAAAGATGCCAAGAGAATGGTCTGAAGCATTAGTATGTCCGATATACAAAAAGGGGAGCCGAACTGAGTGTAGAAATTATAACGGAATATCCCTTCTTGGAACAGTATGCAAAAATCAGCAGAAAAACTTTAAAATGGACAGAGAAAGTAGTAGGAGAATACTAATGTGGTTTTAAACCAGATCGGTCTACCACAGATCATATATCCTCAGTAAGGCAAATGCTGGAGAAATTTCTTTTTTTTTTCCTACGCCTAAGTAAAACCTGCTTGATCAGCCATGCGTGCTCTTGCAGTCCAATATAATTTTGCTCTCCTAGCATAAGGGCTGTCCATTTAACTAAAAGAACATCTTATGGCTTATAATGTAGGGTAATGTATCAAGATGTTCTAATGTCATAATATCCAAGGAACACACAGGGCATGTCGGGCTATCTTTTATACCGATGTGGTGGAGGTGCTTCTGAAGGAAATGATGCCCTGTGAGCATTCTAAAGCATGCCACGGCTTGCCCTCTAGAGAGGTCTCTCGGGATCCTGCTACTTTCTTCCAGCAATCCACTCCATCGCTTCCCTTCAATTGTTTGCGCATATTTTTCCTTCCGTGAACTTTGGAGGGTCTGTTTTATTATTCTTTTCGTTGAATCCATGCCCAGAGGAATATCTGGTTGGATCATTCCAGAACCTATTCTGACCAGTTTGTCAGCTTCATTATTTCCGTGGAGCCCACAATGGCCTGGTATCCACTGGACAGCGACTTCTGTCCCATTTTCCTTTAATCGGTCCAAATAAAGATGCCATTTAAGGACATTTGGATTCATATTATATCCAAAGCAACTTTCTTGTCTTTCCGTTCAATCAATCTCTCAAGACCTAAGAGAATGGCTTTCACTTCCCCTTCAAAGTTTGTTAGTTTGATATGTTTTAAAAGCATAAAATATATAGTTTTATCTTTATAAAATAAAATATAAACTATTTAAAGGGTGAAGTGATCGCATCGGGACAGTTAGTCCACGTGCCCCCTGGATAACCCGTAAACACGGTAAGTAAACGATCTCATTTATCGCCAACTCAGCCTGGAGAAACCAAATGAGTTTAATGTGCATAACCATTAGTTATATTATTCTAGTGACACAGACTTCGGAAAAATATAATGCAGATATTTCTTTTTTAATGCAATCATTCTCAGGCATTGATTGCAAGAGCTTTTAAAATTCTAATCAAATAAGCCCATTTAATTTTATTATGTCTTATTAAAAATTAAATGATAATTTTAATATATAGCAATCATTTAAGCACTACAAAGTTCACCATAGCTACAGAAATAAGGCACCAAAACAAATTATGAGAAAACTCACAGCTGACTTGGCAAAAATAATAATTAAATGAGAAGGATTTGGTCGAGGCTGCGGTCAAATAAATACTATAAACTAAAATAGTATTTATTTGACCAAACCTTGACCAAGTCTTTATCATATTATAATCAAGGTCAACCATCTCTACACCATTAATAATAATTTAAATTTACCACAAAATTTGCAGTTAACATGTTAAAAATGACTAAAGGTATTATTCATTTGAAATAATGAACTCATAAAGTAACATAAATAATGATTAATCTAAAAGTAAATATCAATTACTTCTTAATCTAGAACGTGTAATTCTTCCTCTTAGATTCATTGGAGCCATAGGTGAATCAAAAGAATGAGTTGAAGATTGAGCAGCATTTGGAGATGACATCTCATATTGTCCTTGAATTTCATAGGAAACAGGCTGTTGTCCCGAAGAATGTAAAACAGATTGTGAGTTCTCATAATTTTGCAAAACATCATAATGTTGGTCGCCAGAATAGATTTCATTGCTATTAAAAAAAAGGAGAAAAAAATAAACTTTCAGATACTCCAAATATGAAAAAAAAAAAAAATCATAATATAAAATTTCCACTCCTCTCTGACTAGTCCATAACATAAAATATTTAACTTAAATGTGTTAGATTAACTCTTTGACTATGGGAGCTCATTCGAGAGTTTCTACCATACGTTGCATCCTGAAACCCACAAAGACGTCCAAAAAAAAAATGGTTTTTGCCTTATTTTTGGAATTTTTTTTGCATAAATTTGTTTAAAATGCTATTTTGAGTCACCATGCAAGATCTTCGCTTTCAAAAATGTATTTTAACATTTTTATTCAACTTAAAAAAAACGGGATATATGCCTTCCTGGACACAAACAGCAATGCAAAATTAGAGCGGCAATTCCGCAACACTTCGATTTCGATTCAACATTTGCATTAATTTTTGAGTTTGAAACACTTTTATATTATATGAAATATGAAATATATATTGTTTTTAGGCGGATGGAAAAATGATAAAACAACCGAAGCATCATTTTAACTCTGTATATTTTTACATTTATTAATTTTTATTATTACATTTTAAGTTAATATTTTATATATATATATAATAATAATAACGACTCTCACACAAGAACGAGCCCACCACCCAATATCCTCCAAAGCTTGTCTGTATTTACCTAGGAAAGAAGGAGGACGTGGTTTGCTAAACATCGAAAAAGCTTGCCGCAAGCAGGAAGTGGCCCTACGCCGATACTTTCTTACAAAAACAACTGAGGTTTACCTCGCAATCTCAAGATTGGATTATGGTCTAACCGCACTTAACCTGAGCAATCGTGAGGTCTCTACAATCGTGTCAGAAAATGAACGGTTGACAGAATGGAAAAACAAATCTCTGCATGGAAGATTCTACAGCAAATTGAATGATAGCTCGATTGACAATGAAATATCCATTGAATGGTTGAAAGCTGGAAAGATATTCTCCGAGACCGAAGGATTTTTACTCGCCATCTAAGACCAAGTTATTGCTACTAGGTCATATAGAAGGCATTTTCTTAAAGACGCAACAACTACGGATAAATGTCGATTATGCTCAGCGACGCTGGAAGCAACCCAACATATCACAGGTGGGTGGTTGTGGAGTGTTAGCTGGCACCGAGTATCTCCAGAGGCATAACAATGTGGCTAGAATTTTTCATCAGGCTCTGGCGGTGAAGCTCAACTTATTAGATGACAAAACTCCATATTATAAGTACCACCCAAATAAACTCATCCAAAAGGTAGTCTCAAGCTCTATTGGGATGAATCCATTATAACTGACCATACTGTGCATCACAATAAACCAGATATTCTTCTGATAGATATGAGAGAGAAAAGAGCAGAGCTTATTGATGTCAGGATCCCCAATGATAATAATATAAGCTCCACTGTTGGGGAAAAACTGAGAAAATACCAGGAACTGGCAATCGAACTGAAGGAATTATATCATTTGGGGAACGTCACCACCACTCCAATTATAATATCCTCCAACGGATTGATACCAAAGACAACAGTGGCAGGAACAATGGGATTAAAATTACCTCTTGAAGTGCTGAAAGAGGCTCAACACTCAGTTCTCTTAGACACAGCACGTATTGTTCGAAAATTTTTAAATGTTTAAAAAATAATAGATATTAATATGAAGGTGGCTGGACTTCTGGTTTCCCACCTCAGAAACTTACCCTGCAAAGCGAGAATAAAAAATGGAAATAATAATAATACTTTATTTATTCTGGGACTAGTCCTTTTAGAATATGGGACAGAAAGACATAAATATGGGCTAAGGAACCTTAGAGATACATAAATAAAAATACAGAGTAATTAAACAATCATAGTAAAAAGAATGAAAAATTATATGTTACTTTCTAATTTCAATCAGGTAACAATAAAAAATTTAAAAAAAAAAGGATGAAGTAAAAATAATGAAGAACGAACTAATAATTTATATACGTATTTACATTAGTATCTATTTAAAATTTCATGGGGACTGGATGGATAAGAAATGATTGAACAGGCGGGATTTAAAGGTAGGAAGGGTATTGGATTTACGAATGTGATAGGGGATGGAGTTCCCAAGGGATGAGGATCGGATAATGAAAGATCTGTTGAAAGCAGCAGTTTGGTGAGCCCTTATATATAAATCAGAAGACCGGGAACGAGTGTTGCAGGAACGAACAGAGGATTTGAATTGAAGGAGCTCGGAGATGTATGAGGGGCGGATTGGATGATTTGAAAGAGGAAGGATGCCAGGAAATATTTACAACGGTAGGAAGTATAAAGCCACTTCAACTCTGCATAAATATGGGAAACAGAGGCATCCCTTGGTATCCCGAAGATAAGTCGCACAAAGCAATTTATCAAACGTTTTAGTTTTGCCTCGAGATCCCCAGAGATGCCCTATATACCGAACAGCAATAGTCAAAGTGGAGGAAAATTAAGGAAGTGACTAGGAGCCGGGTTTCAAATGGAAATAGTTGATGATAATAATTTAGACGTTTTAGAGTGGAAAAGGTACGGCAGGAAATATTGGATACATGGTTATTCCAGGAAAGCGTTTGATCGAAGGTTATTCTAAGGTTTTTGACAGTGGGGTAAAATTTGATGGGATTATCATGAAGGAATAGAGTTGGAATATTAGGAACAGTTTTAAGGAGGTGATTGGAGCCTATTAAGATTGCCTTCGTCTTTTCTGCATTCAAATTTAACTTGTTAGCTCTCGCCCAGTCACAAATTCTATCCAAGTCTTAGGGCGGGAAGGACAGGTATATTTGGAAATCATCTACATAGATATGGTATTGGGAGTGATGGTCATTAATATAAATAGCAAACAGATTAGGAGATAGAGAGGAACCTAGAGGGACACCACAGGAGAGGGGAAGGGTCTTAGATGAAGGTTGATCTGGGACTACTACATACTGGGACCGATTTGAAAGGAAGGATTTGAACCAACGCAGGGCACTGTTTGATAGAGGAATATTATGCAATTTAGTAAGGAGGATGTTATGGTCAACTGTGTCAAAAACTTTTGAAAAATCTAAAAGGATGAGGATAGTAAGATTTTGGTGTTCAATGGAGTTTTGGAGGTCATTGGTTATTTAAAGGAGAGCGGATTGTGTTGAGTAGCCAGGTCGAAAGCCAGATTGGAATGGGTTAATAAGGGAACATTCCTCTAGGAAGTTGGATAGTTGATTTTGGACAAGATGTTCTAATGGCTTTGAAAGGTTGGATAGGAGAGAAATAGGACAGAAGTCATGCAGTGTGGTAGGGTTGGAAATTTTATTCAAAGGGCGGACTAGGGTAGTTTTTCTGGAGGATGGGAATATGGAATTTCGCAATGAAAAATTGTAGATATGATAAAGAAGAAGAAGGACAGGAAGGCTGGATTTTATTAGTTTTACTGGAATATTATCAGGACCATAATCATTCGTGAGGGATTTTAGGACAGGGGAAGTAATACGTTGTAGGACACATGGGAGAAAAAGAAGTATTCATGATTGAAGCTGTGATGTTTAATATCGAAAGCAGAAGAATTGTGACTGAAGGATAAGAAATGGTTATTGAGATCATCTGGAGAAAGAGAGAAGGAACTAAGATTATTGGATTCTGGTAGGGATAGATTATGGAGTATTTTCCACTTAGATTTGGAGTCGGGAGCATTGGACAGGGCATTGTGAAAGTAGGTGGCTTTAGCAAGTCATACTGCGGATTGGGTTCCGTTGCGAAGCTCCTTGAAAGACGCATAATCCACAGCCAAACGGGTTCGACGGTATTTGCGCCTTGCTGCATCTCTCATTCGCATCATTTCCTTTATCTCATTGGTAAGCCAAGGAGCTGTGGGACGGGACAGCGTAAGGTTTTGGTTTTCAGAGGAGCATGGATGTCTAATATGGTTTGTAGGTTTGAGGTCAGGGTGAATACCATAGGATCAATGGAGTTATAGGAATATATGGAGTTCCATTGGAGAGAATTAAGGTCTGGTAGAAGGGATTCATAGGAGAGAAGGTTTAAATTGCGGTATGAAACTGTTTTGGGAGTGAAGGATTTCACGGGTAGGTAGTATGTAATTTGGATCAGGTCATGTGATGAAAGAAATGGAACTGGATGTTGAGAAGAGGAAAGGATTTTGATGGGAGTGTCAGCGATATAGAGGTCTAACCAAGTATCGGAAAATTGTGTGTGATGGGTAGGAGAATAAGGAACAAGATGAAGGTTAAGGGAAAACAGTAGGTCGGTTAGGAAGTATTTTTCGGGAGATTGTGAAAGCATGTTTACGTTAAAATCACCGGTGATGATAATATTGGTAAAGTTAGAAACCAGGTCAGTAAGGGAAGATTCAAAAAGGTTGTCAAATGGAACACGAGGAGGGCAGTAAACTACGACACACAACAGAGGAGAGGGAATAGAGGAAATTTCAACGAACATGTATTCCACTTGAGGAAAATCATGATGAGGAGACTATAGACGGATTTTGGTCTCAAGACTGTCATAGATATATAATCCAACACCAACTCCTTTGCGATGAGATTTATCGTGACGTAGGAAAGAGTAATCGGGTAGAGAAATCTGGGAGGATGGGATAAAAGGTTTTAGCCAGGTTTCAGATATTGCTATAATGTGGTAAAAATTGTCAAGGAAATATTTCTGGAATTCATCGTAGTGTGAAATAAGGGATTGTGATGTGATTGGGATTGTTGATGTGACAGGAATTCAGGATATTAGTCATAACAGTAGAGTTGGGAAGTAGAATTTTGGGGGAAAGGATCGAGGATGAAGGATAGGATATAACACTTTTTTAAACAAATATTTAAAAATCTCAAAAAAATAAAAACAATGAATTTTCAATATTTCGAAATAAATATTCAGTTAAGTTTAGTTTATAGCATAGGAAAGTATAAATATACCATTGTTTTAAATACACTAATAAAGTTTGTTAAATAACCAAATAAAGGTCTAATTCATTTGTACAAAAAC